CCAGATTTTTGGAAAAAAAATCAAAATTATAAAACATTTTGAAATTTAATTTTTAATCTGCTAACCAGAATGCTTTGAAATGTTGCAGATGTTTTAAGGCTATAAAGAGCATCATAAATCTTTAGTCAAAAAATATTTGCTTATCCCCTCCAAAAACTTGATGACGTCAGCTCAAAAGTTTGTTGAATAAATCATATCTAAAATGTACAAAATATGATGAGTCTGTACTTGTGATCTATCACTCCATTCATATTTTTTGGATTTGCATATACAGGGTGACTCAAAAAAATTAATGAATGCGTAAATATATTTTATTGATTTAATCAGGAACTACAAAACCGAATGCTCTGAAATCTTGCAGATGTTTTAAGGTCATAAAGAGCATAATAAATGTTTAGTCAAAATATATTTGCTTATCCCCTCCAAAAACTTGATGACGTCAGCTCGAAAATTTGCCGAATAAATCATATCTAAAATGTACAAAATATGATGAGTCTGTACTTGTGATTTATCATTCCATTCATATTTTTGGAATTGCATATGCAGGGTGACTCAAAAAAATTAATGAATGCGTGAATTTATTTTATCGATTTAATCAGGAATTACAAAACCGAATGCTTTGAAATCTTGGGAATATTTTAAAGTTATTATAAGCATGGTAAACTTTTGTTCAAAATGTATTTGTTCATCCCTACTAAAAAAATTGATGACGTCACCCTTAAATTTTGCTGAATAAATCCTATCTAAAATGCAAAAAATATGATGAGTTTGTACTTGTGATTTATCATTCCATTCATATTTTTTAGATTTTCTTAAGAGGTGGTTCAAAAAAATTAATGAAGTCAATTTATTTTATTGATTAAATTAAAGGCAACACTTATTATTAGTATTACACCCCAACCAACCCAATTTGGTAGACACAAAATTTGTTAAAGGAAAAACTCGGTTGAAACATAAGGGTAGCACGCTTATTTACATCGACTTTAACATTACAGACCTGCATTTGTTTTATGCGCTCACTTGGTTCCGCGAATGTGAAATAGACATGTTTATAATCAACCAATTGTGAATTTCACCGTCAAGAATTAAAATAAAACCCAATGTTTTATATAATAAGCGGAAGTCGAAGCAATAAAACCGATGGTCGTTTTGTTTACAGTTTCTCTGTTTGACTCTCACGTATGTTGTTACGCCTGTCATCTTAAATTAAGAATGTTTATACATACACGATTTTCAGTTGCCTCTGATACGTATACGTGAGTAAATTGTTTCGTTATTTTATTGGTTATTACAAATCAATATTCAAAACGACCCAATTCATTTTCCCGAAAATTTGAGAATATAATAATTTTATTCTTAGTATTACACTACATCTATCCCAACTGATATACGTGTCCTTGCAAAAATGTTGATGACGTCATCGCAATTTTTTTTTAAATTCCCACTACAAAAAATGTAATGAAAAAAAAACACAATAGGCATACAGTCGTCAAGTTTCCGACAGCGAGGGAAGTACTGTCTAAACTCTTTAGACCAATTTTTTTTGTTTGGTTCGTTTGTGGTTTAATTAATAATTTAGTCCTCTGTTTTGAGACGGCAAACTCATTCAAGTAAAACTAATTTCTACCTGACATTTTTTCGATGTATAAACATAAATAAACACTTGAGCTTCAAATTGCTTTTACCTATGCTGAAGGACATTTTATCACGTTAGTTATGCGCTTTAAATATATTCTACATTGTCCATACGGTGCAAACGCTGCGGGGATGTTATTTATGTCGCTAGTTTTTACTTTACAGTGGTTATCACAAAACGAAAATCGTAAAATTAAATTTTATAATTTCTTTAAAGAGCTGGATATGTCGGATTTATAACTTGCGACCAATTTTTTATTAATCAAATTAAGAACAACCATTTCTAGAAAATGTTAGAACACCCACGTCTTTATTTAATTATGATCAAATAAGAATAATAATAATCATATTCAAAACATTTTGTTCCACTGTAGCTTAATTAATAATTTTAGTCCTCTGTTTTGAGGAAACAACTCATTAAAATTAAACAAATTTCTACGTGACATTCTTTCGACTTAAACAATCGTATGTCTGCGCACGGCATCACCTTGGAATTTGCACCCCCGCGGAGCTGGTGGTTCGAGGTGTCATTTACACCACTGGTTTTTAATATAAGTATAGAGGTTATCAAAAAACAAAATTTTTTTATAATTTTTCAAAGAAGCGGAATTTGTTGGACTGTCTAAGTAACCTTTGACCAATTTTTTTATTTACTATCAGCTTTCTTTTCACCATGCCTTCCTCTTCTACCGCTCCTTTTTGCTGTACCATTAACTTTTTCTTATTTACTCCTTGCAATTTCCAAAAACACACAAAATTCTACTTTTTGTTTAAGCTGTCTCAGATGTAGGTGTCATTGAATCGAGAACCTTTGTTTTTAGTGAAAGAATCGGCAGTTATCAACATTCAAAAAGCATGTTTTAGGAATAAGTCATATCGTTAGTCACTCTCTCGATGAGTTTATATTGATTAGAATAACTTTTAGTACCAGATAGACTAGATCAGAGTATTTCGGATATCTTTTGTAATTTTGACATAAATTTGTAAAACTGCTAATAAATAGCACAAACTAATGTCAAACCGATTAGAGAAAATGGATATGATTCTCATACGCCAAATATCGAAAAAATAGAAGAGAAACGAGAATAAAAAGAAAATTTTCCAGCAAAACAAACTAGGTATGTACATGTCTTTCTTATGCTTCGCAAAATATTCATGAAAAAATCAGGGTTTTTAAAAAAACTGAATGGAATGCACATATAAAAAATAAGAAACAAACTGTTGATGTTTTAAGAAACATTGCTGTCAAAAATGGAAAACTACTATCTACGTAAATTTTCCAACTGAATTTGGAAAAATTAAAGCAAAAGTCAGTGTATGTACCTACTGTATGCAGTCATTTTGTTATTCTTTACATTTAAAAAGCATCTTAAATCATTACTGAAAAAAAATGCATCACTTAGTTTACTCCATTGAAATAAAAAGTTGGTGACATTTAAGAAAAAATCAATACAGACATGAAAACAACGATATAGTGACTGTACAGTTTTTTAGTATCAATCAATTAACCTTCTATGTTCTCTCTTTTCAAATGGAGATAGAGATAGAAATGAGATACTAAAAGTTGAACAATTAAACAGAAATGGTGTAATTAAAATTTTTAAACACATTGGACCAAACGAGTTGCCTACTCGTAAAAATATACTTTATTTTATCTGAAAAGAAGAAGTTGATGTCATTACCAAAAAAACTAAGAACTATATAATACTAATTGTACATTCATTTTCTAAATTCCTTTGTATTAGTTAACTTTTCTAAATTTCAAATTTCTGGCTCTTCAAATAACTGAGATATGAAAGTAGAACAGGTAAACTGGAGAAAAGATTAATTCATTCCATTACAGAAATGCATATATACAACCCCAAAATTAATAACTTCACAAACAACATCAAAAAAAGCACATTTAAGAAGATTAGCTCGCATTCTGGCAGGATAAAACACGAGTAGGTAGACACCCTCACATCTTTTCATCTCTGTATTTTTGCACGAAGTTATAATCACTCATTGATATCACGAATTAGTAACAGTAATTTCACGAGTACTTTTCACTGTTGCCGGTGATAATTAATTTTGACATAATAAACTCATGTTTGTTTGCGTGACAACTACCTGACTCCGCAGAACGAGGACGGTTTCAAACCGAGCAATTATTGCCACGATAATTGCAACAACCAAATCGTTTTTTGTGACGACATTTAAATTCGCGACTATATGAAACTCACTTGTTATTTGTTTATGAATACTGCAAAGTATTATTGGTTTTTTAATTAGAAACTAGTTGAATAATTAACATCGTGTAGACAAAACTTATAGGTATAACCAGTATAAAACCCACAACAAAAATCGAATAGCTTTAAAAGTTCAAAAGCGTCACTTTATGTGTCTATTAACGCTGTTGAATCCACGTTTATGCACATCTCTAGAGATTTGTCCACTGCTGGTTCGTGGCGATAAAAGTTGTAAGTTCATTTATGCTGTTTTTGTGTGCTTAGGTGGTAGATTCTGATTCCCTAAGGAGATTGGACTTGCGTTGCTACTTTGTGTAGTCGTGAAACCATAAAAGACGATCGCAAACTTGGTCAGAAGCTTGCATATTTGATTTAATTCAATCGCAAATGGAAGAAGTAAAATATCACAATAATTAAACGACACATCACAAAAACTGATGACGTAAAGTAAAAAAACCGACGTCGTCATCTCAATCTTTTTTCCGAGCAAAGAAAAGAACACGATATAAATTTAATTCATTCAGATTCCATTTCTTTTTTTCCCTCTGTATAATTGCAAATAGAGCACGTTTTCTAAATTGTTTCTTTTTGTAGTTGACAAATGAAATGACGAGTATTTGGGATAAAGTCGTAGCACAAAGGACGAGTGTAAATGGAGATAAGAGCGAAGGAGCGAAAGAAAGAGAAACTTCTATACTACAGTCGAAGAAAAAAGAATTTCTAACACAAACTTGATGAAAGGTCAGATATTGGTGCCTCCAACCCAAGCTCTCACAAAAAATATTGCTGATATTCGATCCACTCCACAAATATTAAATTGAGCCATCGACCACAAACTTGACATTTTCTTTATTGTCATCGCTGATATTTTCCTACATCATCGTTTCAATTAGATCATTCTCCGAGATTTTAAATTAAACGAATAAATCAGCCTGCTTCTTTTCATGAAACGTTTGCTGAAAATTTCATAAACTACCGCCCTCCATACTTTATTATTAAGGGTTTCGTAAGCGAACAGGCTCTCCTGAAAACAAACTGTATCAGCAGGTTTCACGATGGTGTCGTAACGCTAGCTGAAACATGTAGATGGCGCTACGGCGAATCGTTCAGGTAAAGCTCCAAGCTCGATAGCGCATAGCTAGTGTAGCTTTACGTCGTCTCAGCAATGCGTGCTTTCTACTTTAATCAATCCGACTGCATTCTGACAATTACCTATCACCTGTGAACTACGTCAGGATGTTAATAGGACTAACCCTGACGTCTGGCTTTTCTAAGAAAGCCTTCATTCATCCATTTTAGCATAGGCACTCATGGACTGAAGACATACGAAACGAAAGAAAAATATAATGGAAAACAAGGTGAGAACTCCACTGACACAGTTACTTCAGATTCACAAATAATAAACGAAATTATACAAAATCCGAAATTAAAGTAATGGTCTGCAATTTTTGGGCACGGCCCAGAGGTCGCAACTTTTTTTCCTGATTCCCAGTACCCAAAGTTTTTCAAATATTACAGCTCATAAAAAAACGATTTTGGAACATTTTTTTTTTAATTCGGCAAGTTGTTTTTCGGTCGTAATATTTTCAACGATGTTTTCTTTTAGGTAAAATGATGGAGTGGGCATACAGCGGAGTAAATAAAACAGTGCCCAGAAATGCAGGTCCGGAATGCGCCGAATTCATGAACCCCATATGGCGACGCATCGAGACGGTTTTTGTCCTCGCATTTGCTGTGACTTTATTCAAATGGAGTTACTCCAGAATAAGCCTACCCACAGTGGTATATGTCCGCAGGGACCGAAGGGGTCGCAGAACACTGTTGGTGATGATGTCATTGATATGGGGTATGGAAATAGGCTATAAGTTCTCATCGCGTACTGTGATATATTTGTTAAACCCCTGTCACGTAACAACGGCTATACAGGTGATAATAAAGCAATCCATGAAGAGAAATTGACGAAAATATCTTTCCTTTCCAGATATATTTGTTAGCGGCTTCCCCCAGCAAAATTATTACGGCAGTATTTCGAGTACATTTAAATCTTTTAAATGGACCATTGTTGGCATTTTTGTTTCCCGAAACCGACACTAGAATAGTGAGTATGTCACGAGTTTACTACGAACAGTAATTACACTTTTGGTGCGCCTTAAATCAATAATCAAGCTCAAATGCTAAATGTCACAGTTAATCACAGTTCATTCTTAACGCCCGAAATAACGTTTGCATTTACATGTCGACCGATGATTTTTTATCCATCAGAACAGATTTCCCGAAGGAATTTCTTTCAGCTCTTACTCATATTAAATTTAAAAATATAATAACAATATGGATCGGGAGTTGAGAGGAAATTGCTATCATAAAAAAATCCCCTAACATCAAAGTAAATTATGACAGTGATTAATGTTAGCAGCTTGAGTACTCGTCATTTGCAAAAATGTAACAGGTAGTGAAAGATTTTTTTGCTTGATTCTATATTAACAGAATTAACTTCTTTATTCGATGTTTCAATTTTATTATGGATGTTTATCCGATATGACGCAACAACGAAATAACCCCAGATAAATGTTGTTCGGACTCTGAATCAAAATAAATTTGCAATAATGAATCTTAAAATCTATGGACAATTTTCCCTTTGCTGACCGAAAACACATAATTGTGTTACATATTCAGAAATTTCAATTTTACACCCTCATTATAATTAAAAAACACGAACGCTTCAAATAAAAAATACAACTCGCAACACTACACAGGTAATAATCACTAGCAAAATGTCAAATCATAACTTATTTTCTTTTTCAGTTCTCATGGCCAAGAGTTACATTAAAAAAATGTTTATGAATTAAAAAAAATACAATTAACACGCTACCAAGTTATTCCAAAATGTATTAAATATTTCTGGTATTTTTAAATCAATAAAGTTCACAGAAAGTTAATACATATGACGTAATACAGAAGCATGTAACTATAGTTACCAGATTGATACAAATCAACTTTCTTAAATTTATCGCTGATGTAATATTCTTTTGAAATCATCATGTGGACCGAATAGAAAGGACTAAAGTGATGTTAACTTTAAAAGCTAACATCTTTCACAAATAAAAAGTATGCTACACTTGATTAGTAATATACACGGTGTACAATAATCCCACACTTTAGACTGGTGGCTTATAACAATAAAAATTTACATTATATGAAATAAACAACAAACTGTTTTCCCCCTATTAACAAACAAGATATAAGCTAGATTCTAATTAATAATAATCAACGTTTTTCTTTAATCTCCTATAAACAAAATTTGACTATTTTTGGGTGTGTCAACATACATTTAATGATACCATATTAATTGTTCTGACCGATGCTTGGTAGTGGGGAAACAGACGCCGTCGCGTGCTAGTATTAGATCACTAAAGGAAATTCACATAAAGCACGCTGAATCCATGCACTGGAAGCAGGGATATCTACTGGTTTAATTTTTCTTTTTTTTCTTAACATTCTTTTATTTTGTGAAATCAAAAAAACTTTTTTCTTTCAAAGGTATGTAAATGGTTCTAGAGTTAGATATAAATATATAAATTTTAATCATGCAACACCATAATTTTATTCTATTCTAAGAAAATAGACAGATGACATGTAAACATAATCAGAAGCGAGACATTTTTTATTCAACTGTGAATGTCAACATTAAATTAAACATATCTACATTATGATGATGTTCTTACAACATGTCCTTAATCATTATTACATTATTGAAATAAAAGGAATATCTTTGTCCATATTAAATTGTTCTTTCGGCAGGACATGTATCTGCGTAAAATATAACGTTACATTACTGTCTTACCAGGGTTTTACAGAAATTATTATAATTTTAGGGCATTTATTTTGTTTATTTTTTTTAATTTTTCTAGATAATTTTTTAAAAGTGATAAACAAATAAAATTTTATATTACCATTAGTTAAATAACTAAATCAATATGTTTAAAAAAATCCATAGTGAAGCTTCTTAAATAAATTATAAATTTGATTCTGTGAACTTCACTTTCTTAGGATAACCTCTGCACGTCAAAATGGGGCTAGATGGATTAATTATTAAATCGTAAGTAGAGAGGCATGTCACACTATAAATTTAAAGTAACATATATTTGTTTTCATGTTCAAAACAATTTTAATTTGACGTTATCACTTTTTTGGACTGAAGATTAGAAAATTTTTGGTTAACGTTATATTATATCTAAGACAATCTTAAAGCAAATTTAAAATTACAAAGTAATCAGTTCCACAGTTTATGTGCAAAAGGACGGGCTGCTCCCAATCTGTCGACCCTATTTCCTTTATCCGGCGGTTGGGAAATGAAAAATACATATTTGTAACAAGGACAGGTTGATATACCTTATTTTGAAATTTAATAGGTCTTGAAATTAGTGCGCTTGTTAAATACGTCACGTAATAACGTCTTTATTACAAATATAAAAATTATCGCTTCCAAAATTGTGGAAAACGGATAAAGTCAGGTCAGGTCGGGTGCAAAATTGAGACAAGATTTATCTTTATGCTGTATGCAGCCTCGCTCAGAAAATTCAGGGTATGTTTCGGGTTTGCCGGATTTCAAATAACAAACTTCGGCACAACATAACTGATTACAGCAACACGTAGAATTCCACTATAGGTACGATTTTTTTTTTTTTAGATAGCAAAGTTTCTAGATAACAAAAACCGACTGAACACGAAAACACCATTCAAAGGTACATCCAGTGTAAAAAGCTAGATTTCCCCTTGTCCGTGCATGCCTTAGCATATTTTTATCTCCAAGTGGATACAACATTTTCTGTTTTCAGTTGATAAAACACTTTATATAATGAGCAGTAGCGACTCATGACCTTTTGAAATAGGGGGACACAATTTGATTGATGAATTAAATATGAAGATATAAAACAGACCAGTGGCAGCTCGTCATATGAGGCAAGTGAGGCGGCGCCTCACAGCATATATCTTAAGAACAGATTGACTTAATTTAAAATTAAAAAAGAGCTTTCAATGCATTTTTAGTTACAAAAATATGTTGAAATGGGAAATCTGTAGATGATTTTTTATTTTTTACGCTTTCTGCGGACATTTTCCGTTGAATACTGTACGATTTATGCCCCGAGTTCTTTAACTGAACCGGCCAGAGCAGCGGTTCACTTGAACCAACGAAGGCCAATCACAGACACGGATTTCCATGACTCAGCTGCTATGCTCCTATACATGAATTCGCTCGGAACTGAGGCGATATCTTCGATGCTTCTCGGCCAATTTCGGCGTACTAATTAAACCATTTTCCCATTTATTTTACAGAATGGTAGGGGTGCAGGGTGCATGGGTAATTAGCATAAACGTGAATAAAAGCCCACGTGTTGGTTTTTCGTGTTTTTGTCTCTTTCATAGGTACAGGGTACAGGTGAGTTAATGAATCCCGAGTACGATATTGCGATATTGTCATGTTGCTTCTTGAAACGCCGTTTTCACGGCGAACCGAGTTAGAACGTAAATTTTGCTAAATATCGAGCAGTCAAAACCGTTAATTCATTTAACTCCCATTGATAAGCAATAAAATCGTCAGTACTCCAGGTTTTTTAAATCAGCCTGGTACGAAACATATAAACGGCTCTGCCGTAGCCGTAATATTTATGCTGAAAGTCTATATTGTTGGCCGTGTCTACTCTTAGGCAATGTAAAAAACACATGGACGACGTCTTCGGGATGTAACGATTTAAAGAATTTCATCCGAAGTGCAAAGTTACTTGAAAGTTCCAAAGTACACATTAAAAGTGCTAGTTTAAACAAAATTTTGACTTGTAAAAACATTGTTGATTAAATGTGTTATGGGTGTTATTATTATTATTAGGACCCATTACTAACTTGGAAATGACCGGTATTCGGGCAAGACTTCTATCATTACTAACTACTAAGACCAAGTAATATGCATTATTCATATTAATTTAATTAAATTTATTATTGATATTATTATTGTCATACTTATTCTATCATCGCCTCACCACATCAGCCAGTCACGAGCCGCCACTGAAACAGACTGTTATTTATACCAATTAATAGACGAAATTGTGTGGCGGAAATAAATACAAAAATACATTCAATAAAAGTAAAAAAGTATTTCTCCACATACCTTTATTAACTCATTACTCAGGTGACACACAAAACAAAACAATTTATTTTTTTCACAAAAATGTATCTGTCTATTAAAATATCTATGAAAGTCTCCCATTTTGCCATGAACACTTTTTTTATTAATAAATTGGGGATGGCTCTCCCTAAATTTTTCACTACAATTTTATCGTCGTAAAACAGAGAACACTTTTTTATTAAATATTCAACTGAATTCTTTTTTTTTATCAAAAAATTTCACTCGCGCAGAACGAAAATTAACGCCCGTAGTTGAACTACTCCTAGTGGTAACTGTTTCAAATGTAACCCGATTCCAGCCAAATACAGCGACTAGAGGCGCGGTTTACATGACAACGATGTAAACAAAAAGTCTAAATGAGTCAACAAATAGAGCGAGATAAAAAAAATAGTTTTGATAATAATTATGACACAAACTTCCGGATAATTTTTTAAGTATTGAAAATTACTATTTTGTTATGTCCAGTGTGTTTGTAGACGTTGTAATTTTGAAGGGTACGTGCCTTTGTGCCCCCTGGCACTACCCGTTTTAGTTAAACACTTTTTCGTTAGCTGTAGTTTCTAGTTCCTTGCCAAATTTCCAAATTTACTTTCCACATTTTCTTGGCGTTTCCTAACATAAAATACCAGAAATTCTAGTCTGTCGTTTCATCTGTGAGTCGTCTATTTATTGTAAGATAATTTTCTACCCAGCCAATTACTTTTAAATTGTAAATATGTTCTCCTATATAAAAATAAGTTTCCGGCATCTTTTTTCAATGATCTTAGTAGGTACATTACTGATTTTTTCAAAACTGTCGCACAACTTTGTAGTAATCTGTTCACAAGCTCGTTGTACCTCGTGGGTTGCTTTAATTTAGACGTTTTTTGCTGTACATCCATTTTGATGCACTAAGGAACTTAATTTGCAGAAAGAATCTTCTATTGGACATTGTGATAAATTGGGATTTAATGACTAACATTTTCTAACAAAAAACTTTTTTTTAGATCATTTATCAAAATCCAGCGGCGATTAAATTGAATGTTTTTATTGCCCTGCTGTATATGCAGATAACTTCAAGTTTCTTCTAGCTATGATACGTACCTTCTTAAGTACTTTGCAAATGTACGGTTGAGTGTACCTAATTTTCTCATAGCATCATTTTGACTTTTTTTTCAAATTGACCTTTCGATAATGTGATATTTTCTGGTCTTTATCAGTATATTGTCAAATGTTCGCTTTAGTACACCTTTTAGTGCAAAATACTTCACTGCAAATATTTTGCCATGAAATTCATATTGTCGGTAAATCTTTACAATACGGAGACATAACTCTTCGTGTTTTGATGCTATTTTTATTGAACTAAACTGACAAAGAACGAATATTTTTATTTTGTAAATATTTGCCATAGACTAGTAACGTTTGTATCATATCTGATCAAATCACCACCAACAAGTGTAAAAATCATAGGGACATAAACTTTGTACAAAATTTTAACTATAACACATTAATCCGAAAACATTTTTTTTTTAATCAACCCTCACATGCCCTACTATTATTTGTGCTTTACTAGCATGTTTTTAATTTTAAGCACTACTTACACAATAAGTCTTAAACAACATTTCACTTAATAAATTATATAGGAATGAGTCACTTTATTTTATGATTAATATTAAGTACATAATAAATAAAAAGTACTCAAAAATAGCACACTAACTCTCTGCCACCTTGGACCCAAATATTGAAGACATAGTCCTTCAAAGTTTAATTTTTTCTTTTAGATATTTCACCATATTTTAATTCACTACTTAGTGCAGGATACGTGAAATCGATTGAACTCCACTTTATAATATCACAAAAAACTTACAAGTTGTTCGTAATGTACTTGACAACAGTGGCTAATTTTCCACCTATTTTGACGTATCTATTTAAATCGATATTTTGCTTTTGTAAGTGTTCAATTGACGTCAAGAATTTCTTAATACTTTTCTCGAACTTAGATTTAATACTGACAATTCGGCATGAGACTGTGCATTTTGGGTAGGCAGCGAGTTCTTTCGGGGGGTTTCGTAAGGGGGTTGACTATGAGTCTAAAACTGAGTTCTCGTTCGGCCGCCATCTTGAAAAGAAGGGTGCAACTAGTTTTTTTATAAATCTCCGTAACGGTGATTCTGACAAAATTTTTTGAAGAAAATTTTTTTGGATAATATAATTATCTACATAAAAGTGAAATACGTTGTAGCAACTTTTTATTCTTATAAATCTTATCATGAACATTTTCAATTTTATTTAATTATTCACATAATAAAATGAAGAAAATCAATTCGAAAAACTCTAGACTTATTATTTGAGTACTGATAACATTAATACAGTCTTTAGTATGTAGATGTAGATAAATACAATGAACTGCATATTTTGTTATATGTCAAATGGCAAACTTTTTAGCATTATGATGCTCCATTATTTTCAAAGAAAAGTAAATTACAAAATTCGGTAAATGCAAATAGTCAGACCTTTAAAATTCCCAAAACGAAAATATGAATGTTATCATATGCTATTGGGTAGTACCACGTACTGAACGATTAGAAAATAGGCACATTTTTTTGCTGAGAATTAAGTTTTAATAAAAGTAAGATAAAAAATAAATTAGAAATATCATGTAGATGGTAAAACGCGAACTAAAATTTGGCTAATCATCCCCACCATCAATGGGTTGACGTTATCTCCAAAATGTATAACATTAAATTTGTTAAATTTTAGAAAATAAGATACTCCTGCACTTGTGGTGTATAAATCCGTTTCAAATTTTCACCCTAGACATACAGACTTTTGGGAAAAAATTCAAAGCTATATAACAATATTTTGTAATTTAACTTTGAAATTGTAAAATCGAATGCTCTGAAACCTTGTAAATATTTTAAGATTATCGTAATCATGGTAAAACGTTAAACAAAATTTATTCCTTTACCGCCTCCCAAAAAAATTGATGTCATCTCAAAATTATGCTGAATAAATCCTCTCAGAAATATGCAAAATATTATGATTATACACTTGTAGTTAGTTTATCAATGTACTCATAGTTTTTAGAATTACTTACGCAGGGTGGCTCAAAAAATTAACGAAAGAGTTAAATTATTTTATTGATTAAATCAGGAACTGTAAAACCGAATGCTTTCAAATTTTGTAGGCGTTTTAAACTTATTATAATCTTCATAAATAAATCCTATCCAAAATGTGAAAAATGTGATGAGTCTAAGGGAAAACTCATTTGAAACGTATGCGCAACACGCTTCTTTACATTTGCTTTAACATTAGGCACATATCTTTATTTTAGCCTATAAGGGTTCTCATAAAAAATTCGTAATGTCAAATTTTATCATTATATCGAAAAAGCTGGATATGTTTTATTGTACTTCAGGGACGAGGGAAGTTCTGTCGAAATAATCTTCGACCAATTTTTTATTATTGGCGGACGGTACGACTGCATAAATTTTATTCTTATATTTTCTCCAATAAGTACTTGATTTTTGGGGCATTAAGACATTTATTATTTTCTCAAGAACACTTTCAATATGTGAAGGAACTACGAATGTGGTCATTGTACTGCTTTTTTTTAGTAAGAGGAACTATCTAATTATTTAACGTTATTTACGTGAATTTTAATGTCAACATTTTTCTTCTATCCCGGTGTTTCATTCATTTCTATTAAAATAATTTCTTAATTTTTCATGTTCTAAATAAATTTAAATAAATGTCGGCCCACAAAATCTTAGGCAGACATGTTCTTAAAGTTTTTCGAGTACTCGTGTTGCTCCGCTCGACTTTTTCCGGTCCTGGGTCCCAAATAACAATTTTTTATTAATACATTTTCGGCGTAACGTTAATATTTAAAAAGCTGCTAACAAAAAATATAAAAAACTAAGGGATGAAAACTTTTTGTAATTCCAATCATAAAGTTTTATCTCTTTCTATTTGAGAGGCTCAGAAAACTCAGTTTCATACTCACGACCTACTACCCTACGACATCCACAAAAAAGTCGCTGCGTACCCAAAATGCCCTTTTTTTAACGCCGAATTTACTGGACTACTTGCGAACTTACTAATGTACCACTGAATTTATCAGCACTGACAGCAGGTTTCTTTTTTATTTGTTATTTTATAAAAAAAAATACAAATTTTGCCATGACTTAAAACAATTATTTCACCTACAATAACTTTTAAATGATGCAGATTTTTAAAATATTTCAATTTTTATCTCCACATCATTTAATTTAAAAAGTCTTCAATTCTATTGTTTGTTTAAACACGTTTCTTTTTCTGCAGTTTTAATTGCAGAATTATAAGCGTAATAATACTTTACTCCTTCGAAACTTTTTTCTCTTGCAAATTATAAATCCAGAAATTGAATACTGTATTCATATAATATTCACCTTATCGGTCAAAGGATACACAGAGACGTTTTATTTTTTTATAATCTTTTGATAACAACTACAACAATTTTAATATTATTATTCTTGTTATCTTTACTGCTGCATTATTATGCACAATAACTTCCGTGTCTACTTGTTTACATTAATGTTGTTAATTCAAGATATTCAAGTGATATATTACAACATAAATAATCACACAAAGAGTTAGTAGAAATTTGCGACAAAATATCTTGCCCTGCTAGCACAGCAAAATAATATAAGTAAGTTAAAAAGTAAAAAAAAAATAACAATTACGAAACTTCAAAAGTAAAAGTATGTTCTAAACTTCACCGACGATTTTTATATACATTAGGTATTTATTGAATTAAACAATAAACACCTTAAAGTATTACGTTTTTGAAAACTGTGGAATTTAAACCTCCAAAAACATGCCATAAATAAATGTTAAGTTTGTACGGCTTACATGCTTGTACAGAAAATTCAATAAAAAAATCAGGAGCTCGTCAATGTTTTATTACAATGACGCACGAGGCATATTGTAGCTACAAAGAAAAAGTTTTTATTCATTCAGGAACCTAATCAATAATGATTTGCGTGATAATTTTGATTACTGCCCGTAAATGTTAGTCATATGAATGAATAATTTCTTTTTTAGTATGTGCTAACTTTATTACTACACAAAATACAATGACTCATATTAGAACGGTGTTTACATTATCATTACTATTACTCTGTTTTTCCTTCAAACATATTGGTAGCTACTTATTACATATGTACCGGTAAAGAATGGGAAAACTTGTCCATTATAGCTCTTATTGATTTCACATCTATTCAGGTATAGAAATTATTCAGAATATAGCTATTATAGTTAACCTACTTTGAAATTGATTTTCTACTTTTTATCATTAATCTAATCAACAAAAAAAAAAACGAAAATGAGCGACCATTCACAAGTTACGTTTTGTCCAGAACAGAGAAAGCGTGTTCCTGAAAGCGTCCACATGTACAGTTTCAATACCTAAGTACATATCAAAATTTAAAAGTTTAAATTAAAACAATTTTATGCAAATCCTAACTAAACGTGATTAATTAGTATTAACAGTAAGCTATGTAACCAGGAACTTCGTAAAATTAGTAGGTGGATAATGTTCCTGACCGGACTGGTTTAAATGGTCGTGTAATTGAAACGGAGTCCTTAGTAAGTAAAATGAGTCTAGAAAATCGATGACAGTGCAAGTCAAACAGCGTTAATTTACGATCTACACATTTTCACATTCATCACAAAAGAGAAAATATTTTTACAGCTTTGAAACACATGAACTAAGTATTTTACTGAAAATCATTTCTTGTTATCAACATTAATGTCACTCAAACACAAATCTTTCCGCCTTCCTCATTCTTTTTGTAACTTGTTTGTTGTTCTGATTTACAGTTGCCATTAGAATCTGCGATATATTGGATACAACATGGAATGATGTTTGTCGTGCCTTATTACCTGCTTAGATTAGGAGGTAAAAGTATCTTATAAGGTTTCACTTTAACTGACAATCAATTTTCTCAGGGGTTTACAATGTTGAGAAGTTTTCCGACGTCAGTTGGAATGCTTTCAGCTACAGCATTAACGTTATCTATCATTTTGCATTTTTACAAACGATCGCAATTGTACGTATATTAGAACTGTTGTTCAGAAAGTTTATAGCATTTTAAGGAAAATGAAAAACCACTTACTATTAAATTCAACTAAGGCGCCTCCACGCCCCCATATACCTCACAAGTTTTAATTGATCTGCATCATCTGTGATTTGTTAAGAAAATTATTATTAAAATGCATCGCATTTTCGTCTATTCTCTAACATATTTAGTCATATTCATGATCTGTACACATTTTGAAAATTTAACAGGTGTACATTTTGAAAATGTAACAATGTTGATACATTTATGGTTCTATTGTTTAATTTCTTGTAAAATAGCTAACAACTCTCTGAACAACTATACACAAAATAACAATAAGTTTTGCTCATGCACTCTTTATCAGTAAGCTGCACACAATCACGGAAAAGTATATTAAGATCTCACCTTCATGAACTTTTAGAAACGTAAAAATTAATAAATATTGAAAAAATGGAACAGTGATGGAAATTAACGTTTCATAAAAATAAATTTTTGACTTTTAATAAAACCGAGACTCGTAAATCATAGGACGCTATTCTTCTAAACGAAATAAGACATAATATATAAGTTTTAGTATACCCAAAATAAGAAACAGAATTCACAGTGTGTTATACAAACACAAGACAAAATCGTTTAGATTATTATAAATGTCACATGTGTTGAATCAGTTTATAATCGAGTCCATAACGACCATTGATTGAACATATGTTGTATAAAAAAAACTTTTAAATATCATCAATTACCAGTCTGTATTCTTGAAATTTTATACAGTGCACAATTGAAAAAAAAAGGGAATTACAGGAAGCAGCAAAAAACCGTTAGAATAAACATAAGTAGCTACTTATGTTCAACTTATTCTAAATGCCTTGTCTAACTAACCGGCATGGAAAACCGAACGCCAAGAACGAGTTAGAATTTTATAATGATTTTAACACCACATATTTACAGAGGGTCGGTGACCAATCGATAAAAATTTCAAGTTAAAACATGAAAGAAGTTTTTATTAATAATGGGTTTGACCACCTCTAAGATGTATGCACTCACTGACTCGTCTTGGCATAGATCTGATAAAATGATCAATATCCGGCTGAGGTACCGCATCCCATGCGAGCTGCGCCTCATGTCGTAAAGCTTCTAGGGTCTGTGGAGGATCCATTCGTTGTGAGCCTTCTACCCATTACATCTCATACATGTTCAATGGGTGAAAAGTCAGGTGAACGGGGTGACCATGGCAAAAGATTGACTCCAACAGCTTCAAATTGATTTAAACTAAAACGTGCAACATGAGGACGGGCGTTATCCTGTTGAAAAAGGGGGTCGGGAAGCGTCTGAAGATATGGCAATGTTGCCTCTAAGAAAGACTAGAGGCGACCTGCTTCCATGCACTATAGCACCCCATACCATTATCTCCACAGTGCGATGCACATGTTTTTCCATTGCAAACTGCAAATTGCCCCGTCCTACTCTTCGTTTTCTCAGCCTTACCCGACAGTCATGCATTGCCAAACAAAACCGGGATTCATCACTTAGATGATGTTGTTAGATTCAGCATCCCAAAGTTGTCGTTCTGTGCACCAGAGTAGCCGGTCACAGCGGTGTGCAGCCGTGAGCGGAAGCACATAATGAGGACAATACGAGAAGTCCAAAGGACCGTATTCACCTGGGAATCGTTCGTATTGTGACTAGGCGCCCTGTCTCAGTCAACTATTGATCTCGAATTGATCGGCGAGTTGCAAAACGGTCTCCTAAAGCTAAAAGTCGAAGATAATGGTCTTGACGATGTGTTGTTTACTGTCGAACACTTGTGTTTCTCGATCTTCATTATCGACCTTCCTCTATCCAACATTCTGAAACGGTGCTTGCGCTCCTCAGTATTATTGCCCCCATTTCCCGGAACGATTTTCCAGCTTCTCTCAAGCCCACAATTCTTCATCTATTAAACTCGCTAAGTTGACTGAAATTACGACGTCTACGTACAGGAGGCATTTTGTAAGAGTAATACAGAACCTGCATACACCAAATTCGATGACAGTGACAATAATAGCCACATACGACCTGATCTTTTCTTCCATGCTTTGAACAAAAAAGATTAGAGTACAGAAAAACTGTCCTCTCAATGCGACCCATATTATTATTATTTCTTATACAAATACTAATATCTAACTTATATACGAAGTTTGGTCAAAAAATTCCAACTCGTTCTTGGTGTACCTTTTTCTTATTTCCCCGGCACACACTCTCTAATTGTAGCCTTTATGCCGTAGTTGTCCACTGGTCTTTCTGTCTTCTAATAAACTAAATACCTTTTTCAGCTAGGTATTCGTTCTTCCTCGGTGCATAATGGTGGAGCTTGTAATGATAAAAATTTGACCTAATGTCGATCTCCTTTGTTTATTTAAACGGTTCTTAAGAATTCTCACCAACACTTCGTAGATAAAACTGGAACCGTTTAGTCGCCCTTTTGGTTGTGGAAGTATGGAATAGTCTAAACACTGCTCCACTCTTTGGCATTCTCTCGCCTTCCCAAATCTTCAGTATTAGTTTTTACATACTTGATGTTTCGTACATTGTCATCTGTTTCATTTTCGCTTTCATCCAGATGCTTTTCAATTTGTTCATCTTCGCTTTTTATAGTCCTTACCATACATTTCGCCTTAGTTTTCCAAAACTAAAGCGATAGTTTATTTCGCTTGGTGTCTTGACAAAAAATTTTTAATCCGTTTTTCCCATACCTTTCTTCATTTTCTAATAACTTCTTTCGTTTTGTCACATGTTTTTGGTGTTCTTCTCGTTATTTCATGTACCTCAACGCGAAAATCGAGAAAAAAGAAAACTTATACGTAGGAAAACAAGAAGTTCATGATATAACTAGTGGCAATGCGCAAAGAGGACCATATACATAATAAAATTTGCTGTTTGAAAGGAATATATTGACAGATTTAACCGCAAAAAAATTCATAAGGTTACGTTGAGGTCCCCGAACGATAAAACGACTACCCAAATAAATCATCTCGTCAGAAGGTCCCCGAACGATAAAACAACTATCCAAATAGATCATTTCATCATAGACCTAAGACACGGATCTGATCTACTACACCTGCTGGCATTTCGAGGTGCAAAGATGGGCTACAACCAGTACCTTTTGGACGCAAAGTTAAGTGTCCGGATTGGAAATGTGAGGAAGGAAGGTTGTAGCCCTCGTACAACGTCCTATACAGAATTGCTAAATAATGAAACCATCACAGAGCAATTTAAAAAGAGGAATACCGTAAATTAACTAGAACTGACGAACAGTCAGTCGGTTAATGGGTTATGTAATCTTGGTAAAAAGGTAATTAAGTCGGTGGCTGGAAAGGTTCTAGGTCAGTCAAAGGTGAAAAGATGTGACTAGTTCGACCAAGAATATCATGAAGCTATTAGGAGAAAAAAATGCAACTTATCAGCTAAAACTAAGTAAAGTAAAATAAGAAAAAGAAGGACAAAACGATTGCAACTAGGAAGAAGAACACGAGGGAAAGCAATCAAGAAGCTGCAAGACTGCAGGAAATGATAATATACCAGCAGAGCTAATCAAATTTGGAGGTACGGCACTAGTAAAATTCCTACATACATTGATTGTAAGAATATGGACAACTTGTACTATACCCGAGAACTGGAAGATTGGCCTAATATGTCCAATTCATGTCCAATTCATAAAGAGGGTATTGAAGCGACTAAAACACGCCTGTTGAGACACTAACAGAAACGTATTAAATTTATTGGAGTCCGGACTGACAAATCCATTATAGACCAAATAAAAAATAACGAAATTTGGGATAGATGCATTTAACACATTTGTTCACTTTAATTCGGTTTCCAAAAGAAACCAACTTTATGAAGCTACGAGAGAAATGAAGACCCCAAAAAGGTTGATGCAGCTTATTAAAATGGCTTTGGCCGATATACCGTGTTCTGTTCCTACAGCTTTCAAACAAAAAAAAACCGCATTGAAATCGGTTCATCCGCTTGGAAACTACGGTGCCACAGACAGACACACTGACAAACAAAGTTATAACACCCGTCTTTTGCAATCGGGGGTTAAAAAGCGGCCGAAAATTGAGGACTTTGTATATTTACAATTATATTTTTAGATTCATTAATAATAATCAGCGAAAGTACGCCAAACGACGAAATTAAGAGAAGAATACTGCTTGCAAATAAAGCTTAAGACCAAGAAATATTTTTACTCAAGAGACAAAAAATCAAATCTATATAAAAAAACGTTAATCTTTATGTCTCGCAGACGAGATGGATGAACTGTATTAGAATGGATATTAAAAGCCTGGACTCGAAACTAGGAAGAAAATGGCTAAAGGAACGAGACAACTGAGGAGGTCAGGACCCACTAAGATTGTAGTATCAACGAAGAAGAAATAAAAGAAGAAACAAACGTTTACTTTCTACATTCCATGTTCTTCGTTAGTGGCTTCATTTTCCTCTCCCTTTGGTGTTTCCGTTTTCCTTTTGTCACCTGCCGGAGTCATATTTTTTACCCGACTTGATTTTTGCCAATTTCTGCAAATGGAAATTCTATTTCCAAATTCCCCGTGTACTTGTTTCTAACATACAAAAACCTCTGTTGAGATCTTGCATGGTTCCTTTGTGCTTCTTTATCCGTACCTGTATTTCTCTCTTTTTTAGGGTCGGGTTATCACTGACATATTTTGTTCAATCGGTTAGCAAAACGGTTCTAGATAAGTTTTCTGACTGCTAAATACTACGCTTTTTACCAGACTTTATATTTCCTTGTTCTTCATATTTTAAGCTCTAACATCACAGAGAAGAGATGAATGGAAACCTAAATTCGAATTTGAAGAGTTCTTAAAAACAAAATATAAATATTTAGTTCATAAAGGGTTTGATCAATAATCCATCATCAATATTCAATTATATTCCATGTTAATAACTCGAAAGGTAATGAGGTAAATAGATTTTACATTAATTTACATAATAAAAGTATTTTTTTGGTTGAATGGCAAATAATTAAATTTACTGAATGGTGAAACATTATTACTGCTGTGAGATTTATCTCTATTCATACTTACATACTGTGATTAATAGGTATAACATTATTCTGTTTCATTAACCAATAGTGAATTAATTTAATTAACATCAAAACAGCAATTATTGACTATCTGGACCCATATAATTCCATCACATGTTACACTATACGAGTCTGAAATATTTAACAAAGCTTTTTTTAACAAAGCAATCTTCATGTTGGATGTCTTTTACAAAACCATTCTAACAGGTTTTAAGGTTTTTTTTACCAAAACTTTAGAATTTTCATAGAAATATAGTAACTGTAGCTTTCGTTTTTAGATAAGTGTAGTTCTATTATAGAACCCCTACATAAAAATTATCGCCCTTGCTGAAAGCATGTTTTTTCCATATCTAGAAGAGTATTAGTTTTTCTACAATCTTTTATACAGATATAATGCGATTTCATATGAACAAATCGCTAGATACAGTGGAGAAACTGATACCAAAAGATCAGAAAGTAGAAAAAAAATATGTTAGTAGAAAAACATTTGCTCGTTAACATTTCAATATAATTTCACTGTGATATCGAATATACTAACAATCTGTAATTTTTTAGCCAACTGAAGTGAATTTGAACCACATGTTATGTCCGGCCATATTGGATCCTTTCGAAGGTCAACTGTATAGAATATGTGCAGTAGTGCATCAAGCAATACTCTGTCCAGTACTGAACAAATTGTTTTGCCTAATAGCTAATTTCTTTTTAACTAAATTTTGGATGACTAAAGTAAAAACAACGTTGTATTATGAAGTCATGGATGCAAACGGTGGTGCAACAGACACTGGAAATCATCAACATCGTCACTAAATTTAGGTAGAAATAAATAAGTAGAGAATACAACGTACTACCTGCAGTTGGAAACCATACATAAAATAGTGTAAGAGTATATCAGTATCAACAACTTTTTAAACTTTATAAGAAGGATTTTTTATTAGAATGTAGGACACACTGAAAACTAGACCTCAATCGTGTGTAGAAACATTTTTTTTTTATCAACTTCTAATAAATTTTAATAATAGACACTGAAATAGCAGCTTTTGATCTAGGATCAATCGTCCCATATACAACTAGTCGACAGTAATAAAAGTTACATAATTATATCTAATTAAATTACAAAAGTTAAAAAGTAAACCATGTTTTAAAATTTTATTATAGCAACTTATTAATAAGAATACCTAAATACACACTTTGCTCTAAGACGTATGTATTGTTGAATGAGATAAGTAATAAAACCTTTATGAGTGAGTATCATTATTAGAATTATTACTTGCCTTCAAGCTGTGAAATAAAAATTATTAAGTGCCATAAATCGCCTATAACTTCTCGTACTACTTGGTTTTCTTCGCGGTCTAAGTATACTTTTTAATTACTGTTTTTAATTAGGAATTATGGAAATATTTACGAAAGTCAGTTTTATGGCAAAAACAAAGTGTAGATATTTGAAATTTAAGTAAAAGTTGACATTGTTCCTACATTGTAGATATTTTTCAATTAATTTGGCCATACAACAGGAAAGTCACAAACCTGGTGATACTATTTATCCTAAACTAGACAACGACAGGCCAAATATTCTTTTTTAAACTACCCGCGTATGTTACTTTAGGAATCTGTATATCAAGATGTAACACTATCTGGCCCGCCTTAGTTTTCTTTTATAAACACCTATAAGTCTCTATAATGTTAAAATGTTTGTAAAATTAGAAGCAAATTCCATGGAAAAACACCAGTCGTTTCTAATACCCAAAACTTAAGAAAAAATCTCATTTTTAATTTCTTCATTTAAACATGAACAGAATTTATATTTTCAACAAACATATAAGTTGCGGCTGTTACTTAGTTAACTAGCATTTGTATTTTGAAATCTGATGATCGTAATTTAGTGATTGCTTCTAAAGCCTACTGTACACGTATAAGTTTTCTTCCAAGTTTGTCAGCCTATCTGCATCCAAGTCGTAAATGTTTTCAGTTGTCGATTTTTAGACACATGCTTTAAAAGCTTGTACAAACATTTGTAGTGTTTATTATGTGACAAGCAAATTTGATCGCAACGGTACCACCTAAGATTTTTAAAAAACTTCTAAAAACTTGTAACATAAAACTTGGAAAGAAAATTTATGATGTTGTTAGAAGTAAAACTTGTGAGTATACGTTTAACAACACAAAATTTATTTTCAAAGTCAAGCAGAAGTACCTAAGCCGTAACAAAGCAAACGTGAAAGTGTGGTATAATAACAAAAACACACACACATTCAGTTATGTTTTCAAAGAAAACGAATGATATATGCAATCATTTCTAACGGCGGTGGGTACATACGTTCTTAAGGTGATCTACACCTTAAAATTATATCAGTTTTGTACCTGTATAAAACTGTTTCCGACCAAAAAAAATATATTGGTCGTCATATACTCGCAGATGCATCAAAATAATGTTTGCAAGCGAAATTTCAGATAACAGTTAATTATGCAGAATACAAAAATAAATGAAGAATTTCGCAAAAATTCCAAAATTTTGTCTTCTGTTAATTAGGTAGGTAGCTTTTTATTTCCAATCTAATTATAGTTGGAATATCTGCCACTTCCGTCCAAAATACTTTGAAATATATCGCTGAGCTTTTATCAGACAGTTGGGTATAAATATAAATTTATCTTCGATATCTACTCAAAAAATGAAACCTGTCGAAAAACGTGACATCAAAATTTTGTTCTACTCAACACTTCACTGATTTTAAAGTAAATTACTTTACGGCATTAAATGCCTTCTATGTATAAAAACGAAAATAAAGAAGCTCAAAATGTCAGATATTTTCATTTTGTTTAGGTAATTTTTAGTAGTAAATACATAATGAAGAAATAATAATCACTGTCATTGGAGTTTAAGCTTTAGCTCTAACATAATACCCATACTTAATTAAATAGAAATCAATTTCATATGCCACTCCTTCTGAATTTATTGGTCTCTCACCATTTATATATTTTTTATTTATAAAAATCATCTATATCCTGGAATTCTGAGTTATTTCAAATGATCCACTGACAACATGAAGAAGAAACATTATAAAACTATTATACTTTTGTAAGATCAATCCTCATGTTTACGGAATGAGCTTTCCTGGAGATCTCAGTTCAGACTGATAATATAAAAAGAAGTAGGTACTGAACAATTTAGAAAGAACTGCAAACATACTCTATAATATAATTATATTACTATACCTAATTAACAAAAATTATTAATGTAACTTTTGTGTATTGTCTAACCAATGGACATAGTTTAAAGTAAGCAAATCGAAGATGTTACTACCAACTGTAAATTGTAAACGTAGACAAATAGTTCCAGTTACTGAAATATCGCTTGCAAAATTCTATGCACTACGCTCACATACCTACGTAAACATATTATTCATAGCCATTACAAATAGGTTAATCTCTGGTTTGCGATTAATATAATTTATTAAATTAATGTTCAATAGTGCATTACCAAGTTGTTATCATGCTAAAAAAATATCATCCGATGTTAGTTTCTTTATCTTTGTTTCTGCTTAATAACGATATGTATGTTTATTAATAATTATGTGGTATATAACTTACATAACGGCTATATTATATATTATGATATGTGATTAACCATCTACATGTTATGTTGTGTATGTAATTTTTTACGTAGACATATCTACTACAGTTAATATACCTAATATTTAACCCAAAACTAAAGTACCACTCGACAAGCAGATTATTAAAAAAAAACATACTCATTAACAAAATGTTGAAATTTAGTAGATATGTCACACAGAGTGTACATTTAAATTTATTTGCTACTTTTTAAATTTTGTAAATGAAAACATTTTTTATCAAAAAAAGTGTAATTTTAAACTATTGAATCTAGTCAATGACTCACAATAAATGCAAATATCGTTACAAAACGAACTTTTTTTTTCAACTCCTTTCTTTCTATCGTACGGATTAAGAAAATTTGAACTGAACTGTCAAGTCAATATTTTACGTTCAAAAATGACTCCACTTCAAATTTTCTTCTTCACACGAATTTTGTACAAAAGATATGACTTTAGGTAAGTAATTAATTATACGTCATACACTCAACACATGAAACGCTGATCGACTGGTTAAAGTTACTCGAGTTTCTCTAGATGTTTACGCCAATTTTTCGCCATCCCATAAAATCATCAAGTTTTGATCCAAACAATTCAAGACGGTGTGATGCCACCTCTTCTAAATTTTGCTTAAGTACGTAGTGCCCGAGTTTTTGTTGGTGGCCGCAGCAAAAATGGCTCCTTAGATCCCCAACCTGTGGACGACCGTTTCGGGAAGCTGAAGGATTAAATTTGAACACAGGGGATTTCACTCCATGTGGTCTATTAATACGTCATTAATACACGTTGTACAAGACACGATAAGACAACTCGTCGAATACGTAATTCTTAACTACGGGCGCATGACGATTATTCATGCTTAATTACACGATAAGGGCTAATAAACAAAGCCTAGACATCCTAGAGTAAGTGTTTAAAAAACATCAGTTTTTGCAATTTTAAAACCCGGTTTACAGAACCTCAATTAAATATTTAATTGCGATTTAATTTTAAACACGGCGTTAAAGTACCATGTGACCGACTTTACGCCAATCAGACGTCGCTAATGGGCTTGTTAAATACGTGATCAACTTAATCTCAGTTAAAATATTCTATAAACTGGCCCTAAGACTTCAAAAAGTTTTAATTTTGTGTTTATTTCTAAAGTTTATTAAAAGTACTCATTATAAATGTTTGTTTTATTACTGCAGAACTAATATCAGATTTACAGCGATCCCAAATTGGGCGGTCCTTATTTGCCGCAGGTACCTTAGTTAGGTACCTTTTTTCAGTTTGTACTCGTATGTCGGCGTAATATTATTACATAATGTATATTCGATAATATAATATATTGTTAGGAAAGAAATCCATACACCGCCCCGGTACGACGCCTATGGGTTCTAGTATGTGCGGCGATGATGACTCATCGTCCATGACGGCAGCGTTCTGTAAAGAAAAGCCTGGAAGCGGAAGTCGCGATTGGCAATCCAGAAAGACCTCAACAATGGATGCGACATAGAAATAAATTTGAAGGTTATGCAAAATCTCGTCGGAGAAAATGTGGTCTTAATGGATCGAAAACAAAAGATGAAGTGGAACATCAACTAAAGAGTTCGAGAAATCAGTACAGAAATGTATGGAAGATAGAGTGAAAACTATAGAAGGTAGGATGGAGAATAAAATGAAAAAATTCGAAAAGATAATGAGAAATGCAACAACTAGTCCATGTAATGTGATGACGCCCCACAGAACAATTCAACCACCACCTATGATGGTCAGACGCCTTCATCATACAAGAAGCAGTTCGAAGCAGCAGACACAGCGAATCTCTGGGAAGAAGAGCAAAAAGCGACAGCTTTGGTAATAGCTTTGCGAGGCAGAGCGCTGGAGATACCACGAACTCTATCTGAAGAAGATAGAAACAAATACAGTGCTGCCCTAGAACTTCGATTTGGGGATGAACATCTGAAAAAAGATTTTGCCGCCCAAGTCAAAACAAGAATACTAAAAACGGGGAAATCTCTGCAAGAATTTGAAGCAGACGGCAAGAAATTGGTACGTCTTGCCTACTCCGACGCACCACCATTGTGCTTAACAATCTATCAGACTGATGACACCATCAACAGCTTAACTTTTAGTAGTTTCCACAATAAAATGTAAAATTTTATGGTCCTGTTTTGAATTTTTTTCCAAAAATCTGCATATGCAAGATTACAAATATTGACTCATCACTTCATCAGTTACAAAATGTAGACGAACATTTTGCAGATAGAATCCTGCAAAATTTTCAAATGACGTCACCAGTTTTTTGGGGGGATAAACAGATAAGTTCTGCTTACAATAATAGAACTGTTCCTCACGTTCGTGATGTGTGCACATATTCTGGGAGCTGGCGATTTATTAATGTTTTTTGGATGTATTTCTTCGATCTACTAGTGTCAGTTATTAGTGTTATCACAGTAGTTTTGCCTACCGACTTTGAATTTTAGTTAACAAAGAACTCTTGTCATAATAACAGTTTACGTTTTCATGGTTTTTTAAAGACTTATTTTTATTAAGAATCTCATCTGGATTGGTTTCTCTTTCAACGCTGCCTTTTGATCCCTTAAAGGATCGGTAAGTTTTAATTTTAAGGCAATTATATTCAGAATCGGCATATTCTCAAAGTATAGCTGATATTTTCGTGCGTATGTATACATATCAGGCTTTGCTTAACCTCCTACCGAAGAAAAAGCGTGATTGCAGCACTTTTTGTTAACAAAGTCTGTTGATTTCAGTTTCGTGGCAACTTTTTTCGGAAAACGCTCAAATTCACACTCTGGTGTACTTAAATCGTCTCTCCAGAAAGAAAACAATTTGGGTCAACATTTTGATATCTAAAATTTGAACGTAGACTGGTAAGAATTTCAGAAATTCCCGGTAGATTCTGTAACACCAAGAAAATGTCCGACTTTAAGCTCGAAACTGTTTTTTTTCTTTTCGTTGATTTCGGTAGTTGAGCCTTGTAGTCTCGCCTTCTGTGCAAACTGAGTCTCCTGGGTGCACACAGGTGTATGTAAATCGTCACGTCAGTTCTGACGCTTATAATATAAGTAAAAGTCAGTTTCACAGCTTAACTGCCAAATACATATCCCAAAATGTGAAGAAAATATCGCGCGACTTGATGATTGAAAGAAATTTTTGTGTTGGCAATTCTGAATTATTGACAGCAATGTTAACATGTCAGTTCATATTTGTCAACTTTGACAGGATCGTGCCTAACAAGCGTGATGAGATGACTTGGTGCCCTAAATTTCATTTTGACAATACCAACATACGTAGTAACTCGGCATTTTCCTACTCTAAAAGCTGTGAAACGTCAAAAAAAAATTGGTCTAAAGAGTTTACACAGTACTTCCCTCGCTGTCGGAAATGTGACGACTGCATGCCTATTATGTTTTTTTTCGCAGTGGATTTCAAAGAATTCGGTTGTGTAGTTCCTGATTAAATCAATAAAATATATTTACGCATTCATTAATTTTTTTGAGTCACTCTGTATATGCAAATCCAAAAAATATGAATGGAGTGATAAATGACAAGTACAGGCTCATCATATTTTGTACATTTTAGATATGATTTATTCGGCAAACTTTCGAGCTGACGTCATCAAGTTTTTGGAGGGGATAAGCAAATATATTTTGACTAAACATTTATTATGCTCTTTATAACCTTAAAACATCTGCAAGATGTCAGAGCATTCCGTTTTGTAGTTCCTGATTAAATCAATAAAATATATTTGCGCATTCATTAATTTTTTTGAGTCACTCTGTATATGCAAATCCAAAAAATATGAATGGAGTGATAAATGACAAGTACAGGCTCATCATATTTTGTACATTTTAGATATGATTTATTCGGCAAACTTTCGAGCTGACGTCATCAAGTTTTTGGAGGGGATAAGCAAATATATTTTGACTAAACATTTATTATGCTCTTTATGACCTTAAAACATCTGCAAGATTTCAGAGCATTCGGTTTTGTAGTTCCTGATTAAATCAATAAAATATATTTACGCATTCATTAATTTTTTTGAGTCACCCTGTATATGCAAATCCAAAAAATATGAATGGAGTGATAGATCACAAGTACAGACTCATCATATTTTGTACATTTTAGATATGATTTATTCCACAAACTTTTGAGCTGACGTCATCAAGTTTTTGGAGGGGATAAGCAAATATTTTTTGACTAAAGATTTATGATGCTCTTTATAGCCTTAAAACATCTGCAACATTTCAAAGCATTCTGGTTAGCAGATTAAAAATTAAATTTCAAAATGTTGTTTTATAATTTTGATTTTTTTTCCAAAAATCTGGACGTTTCGGGTGAAAAGTCGATTCAGAGTTGTAAACTACATGTGTAGGACTATGTTATTTTATACAATTGAAAACCCATTTACTATGTACAATTTTGAAGTGACGTCATCGCTTTAGTGGTGGGGATGATTAGACAAATTTTGGTTAGCGTTTTACCATCTACATGATATTCTTAATATAAGTACAAAATTTCACAACAATCGGTCGAGTACTTTCGGAGATTATCTGTCTAATAAAAATCCGGGACAACAGACGGACAGACGGACAGACGGACAGACGGACAGACGGACGGACAGACGGACAGACGGACGGACAGACGGACAGACGGACAGACAGACGGAAATGGGAGACCTATTTCTTCGTCTTCTAGGGGTCATGAAAGATCGAGAAAACGTAAAAGTAGAGAGTCGGCCGACGGACTCGATTACAATACTTCCTTTGCTTACGCTCGGGAAGTAAAAATTGGTGGAAAGTTCTTTCGACAGAACTTCCCCCGCACCTAAAGTGCAATGAAACATACCCAACATTTTCGAGCTGAGTTTTTTCATTACATAATTTTGTGATGACGTCATTAAATTGCAAAATGTTTTATAATTTTTTATTTTTTTTTCCAAAAACCTGGACGTTTCGGGTAAAGACTCAACACGGAGTCATAAACTACATGTGTAGGACTATGTTATTTTATACAATTTAAAACCCATTTACTATGTACAATTTTGAACTGACGACATCACATGATACGGATGATTAGACAAATTTGGTTAGCGTTTTACCATCTACATATTCCTAATATAAATACAAAATCTGACAACAACTGGCCCAGTACTTTCAGAAATTATCTGTATAATAAAAATTCAGATAGACAAACAGACAAGCGGAGACGGGAGACTTATTTCTTCGCACTCTAGGGGTTATGAAAGGTCGAGAAAACGTAAAAGTAGAGAGTCGGCCGACGGACTCGATTACAATACTTCCTTGGTTTACACCCGGGAAGTAAAAAAACAGAAATTACACATTGATCAAACGTAGCTCATTGCAGTATGTCCCTCGATTGTGGGTTGACGTAATTTTTTTTTCCCTAAAGCAATGCAATCATAATCTAAAATAAACATGGATCGAAATTATCGTTAACAATATAACACGGCTGAATTTTTTTTTCTCACGGTCAGTCAATTTTTCACCACTATTCTTCTTCCTAGAAAACACAATAACAATACACAAAATTAACTAACCACCAACATTTTATCTTTATATTTAAAAACAATTTTCGTATTGTACAAACCATGAATACCTACTATACTTGCACATGTCTTGTAATAAAATGGTAACTATTGTAAAAATAAATATATTTAAACAAAAAAATAATGCCGCTTGATAAATTCGAAGTACATGAACAAAACAAAATCACAACTTAATTACGATTATTTCGATTTTATAATCACTGGACTGCCCTATTACCTATACTGCTCTAACCACACGTATTTCTACACCACAATCATTTATCACCTACACTACGAGGAACCGTTTTTACAAAAACTACAATATTTTGTTCATGTATTCGACTTTATTGCATTAAAGCGTATCCCGCCTCTAAAAAAAGATACAACCACATCAAATCCCATTCGAGTAAATCTGAAATATTGACTTAAGTACCATTTCGCCCAATATTTCAAATCTTACAATAAAAAAATCAATACCTAAACCCGACTAATGCCACACCAAGCAGTAAGTTTATAAGACAAAATGACAGGAACGAACACAATGTGCGGTTTGCCTCATTTTGTAATGAAATGAAATGAATATTAAGTCACACAAATTTAAAACATTACTGTACCACGTGTTAAGTCTATTCTAAAGTAATGACGAGGTAATTAAAAAGCAAGAGGGTTCATAGAAAGAAATACTATTTGTAGTGTTAATTGTTAACCGATTACAATTTTCTTTTTTGGGTATATAGGGTGGTATCACCTGAAAATCTTAATAAAAAAGATATAAATGAAAAAGTGGTTTCTGATTCGAATTAATTCTGGAAAAATCGCTTTGTACAATAGAAATTTAATTTAGTCACAAAATAGAGTGCAATAACAAATCTTTAATACTAAATACAGTATGTTTAATCCTACATACAATACATTGTAAAGAATAGTAAAAAATGTAAGCAACAATGTCAAAATATTTTTTCGATAATCGATTTTTGGCGTTTCTAAATTTTTGGATTTGTCGATTTCTCAATTTCCAGATTAATCGATTTTTTTTATTTTTCGACTTTTCGATTTCTCAATTTGCAATATTTAAGTTCTGGAATTTTTCAATTTTGGGATTTTTCAATATGTATTTCGATTATTAGATTTTTCGCCTTTCTGTTTTTTTTTTTTTGGTTTTTTACTTATTCGATTTTTTAAAATAACGCGATTTTTTAAATCTTAGATTTTTCGATTTTTCAGTTTTTTGATTTTTCGAATTTTTAAACTTTAGGTTTTTCACTTTTTTGTTGTTTCGATTTCTAATCTTTCGATTTTTTGCCTTCTCGTGGTTAGATTTTTCGATTTTTCAATTTTTCGGAATTAACTTTTCAGTTTTTCGGTATGCCAATTTTTTCAATTTTCGATTTAACGGTTTTCTTTCGATTTTCCGCTTTTACGTTTTAGATTTTCCGGTTTTTCAATTTTTCGGAATTAATTTTTCAGTTCTTCGATGTTTCGACTTCTCACTTTTTCGGTTTATCGGTTTTTTAAGTTCAAATTTTTCAATTTTGAATGTTCCCATTTTTCGATTTTTTGCCACTTCCACTTCTCAATTTTTCGATATTTCGACGTCTCGATCTTTTAATGTTTCGATTTCGCGATTTTTCAATTTTTCGATTTCGATTTCTCGATTTAATCAGTTTTTCGATAATCGATTTTTCGATTTTCTAGTTTTTCAAAGTTTCTGTTTTGGGATTTGTGTATTTAAATTTTTCGATTTTTCAATTTTTGGCGTGTCACATGAATTACATTATTACATTACTATTTACATATTCAGCATGAACCATGTCTTCCCTTGGATAATAAATCTTTCATTATCATTATTAATATTATATTATTGTGATAGTATTAAATTTGTGATTGCACCCTATCAAAAAAGATTGAATATGTCGATCCCATGTCCTACAGGGTGTGAAAACTAATTTTTGGCACAAACTAAATGTAATACTATTGTGTAAATTTCACACAGTTCAAACAGTAATTTAGTCTAATTGTCGAACTTGAATTTGAAACTTAAATTCTACATTGGTATTGTCTTTGCCATTTCTATTGAAACACCACTTGTTGATGTTGCTTAAAATTTAGCAAATGGTAACAGCTTTTGGTTGATTGACAACGGCTTTTAATTCGAAAATTGTCTGAATATGAACGTTGCCAAATTTACGATAAACAGATAGTGTTTCAATAGAAATGGCAAAGACTATAATTTGATATTACGGTGTTCTATAGATACACTGTAAAATAACGCATTGCCAAAGTTTGACAATACTAGTGTTCCGTTAATGTAGATATTTATTCCCTGAGAATTAAGTTTTTGGAAATATTTCACACTGCATTCTGTTAGCTCTATGGAAGATTAACTGAGCTTGCTAACATGAAAATCACAGAAACGCTAAACAAATAAAAATAACAAGGTCTGTTAAAAAAAATTAAATCGAAGATTCATTTTTGCAATCACGCAGTTTTAACTTTGATACAAGATTCACTAGGTGATACCATCTTAACGGAAATTGTAATCTCTACTTCAATAGCAAAAATTAAACCTGTGGAGTTAGTGTTTAAACTGGTATGTTTACCAAAAAATGTTTTCGTGGAATGTTGTTAAACCAATTAGCACTATAAAAATAAACATAAGAAACAAAAAGTAAGAAGACAATAAATTCCTGATGTAGTTAGTATTTATAACATACCTAGTCGAGATACGCATTTACTGATTCTATTATTGAATAACTGCATTCGTAATAAAATGACTAGAGTTAATTTTAATACTAGAAGTATTAATTACTTTTAAAAAAATGTAAACGTACATACATACATATTTACAGGAGTACAACCTAAAAATACAGTTAACAAATTAAATTAATTCTTAACATAACGTTTCAGTACAATGAATACATTAGTTAGTATTTTCAAGTATGCATTTTCTTACTGACCTTGTAAAAAAACTTGTACATTTTTACTAATTAACTTATTACTGAAATCTACTAAAACCCAAAATTTTAAAAACTCTCAAGTTTCTATTCACAAAACTCAATTTGGTTTTTAAGAATTTCTTTGAAAACCGCATTGTCTTACGCCAATAATAAATAAAAAAAAGGTGAGGACAAGTGTCACTGACTTTCAAAATTATAAAATTGCATTAGCTGTCATTAACAAAACTACATTAAAGTAGAATATATTAATAAAATGCTTCAGATCACTAAAAATGAGTAAATAACAATAATAAACAATAATCAACTTCAATATCAAAACTAAAACCAAATGAGAGCTGGTTAAGTCTTATGCTTACAAAACGAATTGTAAATAATATTTTCAAAATATCACAGAAAAGAATATTAATAATTTAACGTAAAGGATACTTGATTCTTTGCCAAAACTACAAGGCAACAGTGGCTTATTTTTTTAAATTAACTTTAGGAGACTACACTGACTGTGGACTCAAGCATATGGAAACCATGTGTAGTCTTACTGCAATAAATTTAATCACATGTCACTTTAATCAATTAATGAATTTTGTTCATCACTGCTATAGTAAATGCATTCGAAGTTATTACAAAAGTCATAGAACTGCCTTTCACATACAGAGAATTGTCAAAAATGAAGCAAGTGTCGAAATTTTAAAAAATATGAATAAATTTGATCAGAGCAACGTTTAGGTGGAAGCAAGTTACCTGACCTGTAACATTTTTTTTTCTTTGTTAATGAATCAAAGTTACAGAAATTGTTGAATTAATGCGACTTCATGTGTCTCAGAAAAAACGATCATCCCTTAATATTTTATGACAAAAAATGTACCAGATAGTGCAGTTCAGGTTAATTATCTTTAATTACGTCGATTACATCCGTTTGTTCAAGTACATACACCATACGTGATTCCAAAGTCTGTTTTCTTGACCCTGAAGACTCTGCAAAAATCAGTAAGTAATGTCAACCTTTATAATAAGCGTGGCATTATTATTCCCCACTATATGTGAAAATAACCGTCTTTTTCACAATTGTCTGAATATGAATGTCAACGCGAAATCGAAAATATGATGTTTAACAACATTTGCAAGAAAAATGTACCCTTAAAGTACTACTTCAATTACTGAAACTCAATGCTTATAAAAAAATGCATTTTCTAGCAAAATACTGTACCAAAAATACTTTCAAAAATTCTGAAACAAAAATAGTAGTAGTACTAACAGGAGTAGTGTAGTGAACAATATTCTTCATATTTAGTCATGTTACAGTTGATATTTTTAATATGAGTAGCTAAATATGATACTGTTAGCTTACGGCATCAATTAGAATTTACACAATAAAAAATACTACTTTGTGTAACATGAGAAAAAGTAAAATCTTATTAAGGCACAATATATTTAGAACTGTTTTAACAATTCTGACAAATTTATTAAGCAAATTTTAGTGTCTCTCTTAAACCACGAATAACGTGTGTCCATACTTCCTTGAATTATTAATTTCACTTTTACATGAAATACGTAGTTTGTTTATTAAAAAGAAATTCAACAATGTTTGTTGTGATAAAAATGCTAATTCAAATGAAGACAGTTCTACATCAATTATAATAACAAATGTTGCAAAAACAAGTCCTCTAACATTATAAGGGATATTGGTATGGTAATAATGTCACAACAAAAGCACCTATTTCAAACTCTGAACACAATGGATTTAAAAAACCCGCATTAATATTCATTTTTGAGTAGTTTCAAACAAAAAACGCTCTCTTTTGTTATTTAAGTCATCAAGCATTGTTTGAAAAAAAAAACTAACTTTAAGAATCAGGTCACGAAATATGGCAAAATGATATAGTGCATTTGATGTAAGTACAGTTCAAAACAAATCAGTACTAAAAATGAGTAAATATACATTCACTGCATTAAAAGTGAGAAAGTAATTCAATTCCTTTTGATGGACTCTTATTCTTAGGTTGTGATAACACATACTTCAAATGCACCACTCTTACTCTACTTTACTTTTATAAAAAGTCTAATTCTACCATTGTTAAATTTGTCCTACATGTTCTTTAATGGAAGTATGACTGAAGTAAAATGTAAGTATCACATGGGCAAACCTTACTATCCTGAATGACCAACTTGAAACATTCATTCCCCTTTTTCAGTTATTTTTAATGGTAAGCTAACTTGCGTTTCTAGCTGTGTTAGCCATCTAATGGTGGTCCGAGATAAACCATAGAGACCTCCGTATTTCCATACACTGCTGAGACTGTAGGATACAACTTCTTATCTGGCAATCCTGTAATACATTAATAAATTTTTATTACATTTTACCTGAATTTGAAGCAACTTACCTCTAAACGCGACTCCTAAAAACTCGTAGTTTTTTTCAAATGACAGCGTGTTGTCGTCACAGTCTAAAATTACTCTAATTCTCTCACCAACCTACCATAAATAAATAATTACCTTTCATATTAAAAAAAATTGATAAAATCTTCATACCTGATATTTTGGAGCATTATTAAGTAAGGGATAATTCCCTTGAGCATCTCCATTGTGCAACAAATGATTATCTACCAGGTTCCAGCCCCAACTTTGATCGTCCGAACCTAACAGAGCAACATAACCGTGGCACTGTAGCGGTGCGTCCTTTGTTGCTATGCCTATTACTGCCACCGTCCCCAGCGGACCTTCCCAAATAACTTCCCATGCATGTCTCCCATGTCGAAAACCTATTTTACCCCTTGATGCGTCAGTACTTTGAGCTACGGGATTTCTGTGTAGTGTAAACCCATTAGGCTTAATATATATATTTCTAGAACAATCATTCGGATTCCATGCATGATAAAAGGCCCTTAACTTCGCCTTATAAGTAGGAACTGAAGACAATAAGTCTGATTTTAATGCTTCCTCAGCAAGTTTGCGAATACAGTGTAACCTCCACACGTCATTATTTTCATCATTTAAAAAACTATACCATCTTTTACACACTAAAGAACAGTTTCTCAAATCATGAAGAGATAAATATGAAAATATTACTTCCAACACATTATCGGGCACTGTTGATGCTACAGCGGCATCCATTTTTGAGTGACAGAACAACGTTGCCAAATCGTGTACACAAAGAACAGAAACATTACTAACTTTGCCGTTGAACAAAAAAGTTAGGTAAAACAATAAACAATCAAAGTGATTCTTAAGCAGTTCTGAACATGGATAACAAAGACTTAATTTGAGCATGTAGTTATATATAAATTCTTCAAAGTCAGTTAAGTTTTAATAAGGTTATTTTTTGAACTATAGCATTTTCATAAAGTTATCGCTAAACTTTTAAAATTTGGATAATATTGCAAAACTTCGGATATAATGTAAACTACAAATATTCATAATTTACCTATTCGTTTTGAAATATTCCTAGATTCCAAGAATTACTATAAATCTTGCAATGCCGCAACTGATAACAGATTTTGTATTTGACAATCAGTGCTGCCAATATATATACACAATAATTAAAAATACCTAGAACGTCAGATGTGCGGGAAATACTACCTATGCTAAACATGACATCTTTATTTTTTGATCACCAGGGAGGGGAGAGTATATTGCGTGATATTGCCCTCCCCTGTAATCTGTAACATAAAAAAGTAACTAAATAATAACTAGTATTGCATAAATAAAAACAGAAGTACTCAACCAAATCAGCAGTATAGGCACAGTAGGTATAGGCCGCAAATGATTCAAGGATACCAAAAACTTTTTTCGCTAAACCTTTCCGGTTCTAAAAGTGAATACGTTTTCCGATTTGAACCCTGTCAACTTTAAAGAGGGTTTCAACGTTTCTCCCACTTTCGTAAGTCATCTTCAGGAAATGAAGGACAAGAAGAATGAGATGTTCAGGCGAGAAGAGATACAATATATTCACATATATCAACTTGAGAAAGTCAATCAAGTATAGGTATATACCCGATCACCACATATACGCAATACAGCTCAGAAAATTTTAAACAAAACTTATGTTAATCTACCTGTGTTCTTTACTATGCATTGCTCCATGTATGTATTCTATATACTTGGGCGTACCTATTTCATATCACATAGGTACGTACCATGTGACCGATTGTACGCCAACTAGACGTCGCTACTTGTTTTGGCATAATAAAATTATATACAATCATACAAATGGGTCCCTGTTTCATCATGACAAATATTTTAAGCCAATTCTGGTATTCGTACAGCCCTATTTTTTTATACATATATTGTACCATGTATTGTACTAATAAAATGTTATAACTTGTTAACGTTCTATATGAACGACAGGAGTAGACCACCACCAATAATGCCATAAAATACTCTTTTATTTTCAAACGTCATATAACTGACACTTATATGACGGTCTTACCGGGGTTTAAGTGTCATTTCTATGACACCGTGTTTGAGCGGCGCATAAGTACTACTTATACTCCGCCGGCGTATAAATAAAACATTTTTATACTCCGCCGGAGTATAAATATGTGAAAATCATAGTGGTTGTCAACCATAGTATACCTAGTAAGTGAAATCAAGGCAATTCCTTAATGAAGCAAGAAGATGGGAAATAATCATTTCAAAAGAAGATTAATCGTTTGAAAATAAAATATTGTATTTCATTCGGAGTTTAAGTGACTTATGTGACTCGTATGGACTTAATTCGCCTCGCTATTGCTCGGCGTTTAATCGTTCATACTCCGTCACATAAAGTATCACTTAAACTCCTAATAAAATAAATATCTATTAAAAATGTATGTATGACTTATATTTTATATTATAATAGGCATGACAATATTTAGGCATCATGCCCGCGTCTAGTGGCAGTTTGGACATTGTGATCTGGAACTAGAACCAGCGCCAAATTTGAAAATGAATTTTGTATTTTTATAATATGCCAGTTTCAAAACGCCTAAATATGTTTTGAAACATATAGTAACCAGTGGCGTAAATAGCACCACCGCAGCCGCCGCAATGCGGGGGGCAGCGCCACAGACCGTAAAGTAACCGATATATCTTTTAAAATGTACAAACGAGTAAGTACATATTTATATTACTTTTTAAATTTTAGTAACACTCAAAAAAATATTTAAAAAAATTTATAAAATGTTACACATGGTATATTTAATATTTTTTTAGACTGTACAGTAATACCCTAAAACTATCTTACAAGAAAATTAGAAAAGTAAGCAAAAATCAAAGAAAACAGTCCAAAATAAATTAACATTTGAAATATTTTAAATGTTTAAAACCGATTACAATTGTTCTAGAATGGAAATCAGATTAAACTGATTTTCCCTAACTTCCAAATAAAGTCCGTACAGAATTTTATAAAATTGCGTTTGTTTCAAGTGAAGTTTTCTTAACAGAATTTCGTGATCATTACGCGGAAGTAAAAACTGTCACAAAATAAATTCCACTTTCGATGACAGATTAAACATTTAAAGCCGCAGACATATCGGATTCTTAACAATAGTCTACACTTAATTTTTTGAAAATATTGATGCTGTTAACCTAATTTGTTTCCACAGTGAGTTGTGGCTACACCACCTTGAGTGTGAGTTATAGATTAAAAAATTGATAATACACAAACCTCCTGAAGATACTCATATAAGTGACAATAATTGTCTGCGACTTTATAAAACTAATTTAAATTTTCGTTAATCACCAGTAGAAACGCAAACTGCCTTTGCACTTTTCATTCATACCAAAAGAAATGCGACAATAAAATCACTTTCATAATGTATCAACAGGTTTTTAAACATCATGAAATATACAAAAAGGGTAACAGAAAGTGCACTTCGTTATAGAAGCATAAACTTAATGAAAAACATCGCTCTACTTTCTTCTGGTATGCACAAAACAAAGGTGATGAATAACCTGCGAAATGCAAAATTATACAAACGTTCTATTTCCCTTAAAACGTAAATATAATTGTTGTATTTCCGTTTCCAATGAAATTGATCTGTCAGGTTTTTGCCTACCAAATACTATATTGCTAACTTTTTCTTGCAGGTACATATACAAAGATACATACTTACAAATAAATGAAAAAGTTTAATTTTTAGTTCTTCAGCATACAAAATCCCGAAAATCAAAATCAATTATATTTCTCAGGCGGCTTATTATCGTTTTAAAAAGGGAAGAATGAATTTCAGATGGAACAAGAATGCGAAGATGACTCTAAATCGACATTCAAGTATTTTAACCATTCTTTTTCACCTACTCTTTCTTTTCCACCAGGTCATGGTATTAAACATATGGAACGCCATCATGATTTAAGTTAAATTGACAGATTTCACAGTCTAATGGCGGTTTTATGGTGTGATCGACTGAAAATCCGTCAATAAAGCCTATAACATTATGGCCTTGAAGATTATTCTTAGATACCAGGAACTGTGGCGGCTTTCACGGATCTTCGATGCACTTCCGATTAATTTTAGGACCAAGAAAGTCTCTAATTGTGACCACAAATGAGTCCTCATCTTGTTCACAATTAGAGCCACGACATCGATAAGACCAAAAATTCTTCATCATCAGGGCTTTGTAAAAAGACACAAATGCTCGACAACTGGGATTTATATATCGTACTCGATATCGTTTTAATTGATCAAAAAAATTTTCCAAAGGATCTTGGTGAAAAGCTTTTTCTGGGAAAAACCTATAACCAAGTTTCTTTAGAGTTTCATCGATAATCATAAAACCATTTAAAGTACGACACCACCCCTGTAAAACTGGGGGGTTTGCTTGATCTCCAGCATTACGTGGTTCAAATCTCATATTGCCAAACATATGTTTCCCTTTCACCCACCAAGTGTGATGGGAATGTTTAAGTCGTAACAATTTACGTGAAACCTTACCACCATCATATCCAAATCCTCCATTAACGCTGTCAAAGACAAAATTCATGAAGAGAAAAAAATCGGAAGTGTAACGAGCATCACGTGGTAAGGGTCCCCCGACGGAATAAGCATTTATGAAAGCAGCAACATGACGGCTAAGGACCTGTGAAGCGTAACGAACTTTCATTTTGTGGCCTCTTAAGTTAGGCTTCACATGGTCTACGGTGATCTGTGGCATCCCTTTAAATTTGTCAGGATGCGTCTGATCTAATTCATATACCTTTTCAAAAAAACTCCAAGAAACTCTTCTCTCAACACCTGCTTTATCTAGATAGAGCAGATCTTTGGTGAGAAGATTGTTCCGCAAGCTTTTTAGAAGATGAGGAGGATCAAAGAGAGGGATAACTTCGTGATCACCAATTCTTATCACATTCTCTTTAATTTCCTTTCCATTTTCCAAAATAGCAAGTCGTTTGGTGTCTTGTAAAAGCATATCAATTGCATCACTGTAATTTGTAGCGTCTTGATCACAAACGGAAGCAATGATGTTTAAACCTATCGCTGTTGCTTCTTTCACAATATCTGTATAAAAACGGACAATGTTTGCAGCTAGCATAGAGTTCTTACAAAACGCAAAAGCAACTGGTTGCTTCCACCTTCCGAAAATTCCTCTGAGCATAAATACGCAAACATGGTCAGCAATTTTTTCCGTCCTTATTGCTGCACCGTCATCTTCCAAACCCACAACTCTGTCCTCAGAAGGCAAGCAGTCGAGGTGAGGCTCAATGGGCAATTCACCGAAGATGAGAGTACATAAACGGTACCTCCGCCCCATTTTCCTAACTACTTGCTTTCTGAGAACTTCGAATATGGGTTTGTTGATGCCCGGTTCAATTGGAATTCTATTTAGGGTTGCCCTCAGAGTGTCAATAGTCGGCAGCGTAAACATTGTTGACAGAAGTTTGTACGTGTTTGGAACACGCTTCCAAATGGCAGTGGCATCTGCCTTCTGCTTCAACGTAAAACTTCTGCCTTTCGGCTTACGATTTACGTTTCTAATGTGATTTTCAAAAAAACGTCGTTGACGGGGAGACAGCCCTTCCACGAAATCAACAAACCCTTGATTCCGCAAAATCTTCTTTATGGAGTACAAGGCGTCCCTGCGTTTTCGTGCCTGGTTCTGTAAACGACCCACTTCTTTTTGCAGACGTTTCGCCTCATTGTACAGTTTTTTCTCCTTCGGCGTGAAGTTTAGGGTTGTTCGTTGCTTCACTCCGCGTCGATTCAATATTTTTCCTGTAATATCCACGAGTATGAATTAATTTCATCATTTTTACCTTATACATTTAAATACATACGTGAGGTTGTGTTTGTGACGGAAATATCGAAGGGCTGTCTAACACTTGCATTGCTTCCGACGGAATCTAAAAATAGGCAATATTTGTTATAAAGACCTAAAATATTTTATTTTTATTAATGTACGTTGTGACAAAATCACGCAAGTAACAGGCCGAAATAAGAGAATTGCGGTACGTGCTTTGTAACATATGGAGCCGGACACGTGCAGGTAACCTTCAAGTGGCCCATAGACTCGCGTCCTCATGCATTTATTAGTGAGGGTTAATTTGGAGTTTAAATAACTAAGCCTAAATGAACACTATGTACGTTGATAATTAATGTTTTCTCAATATTTCCCTCCATAATGGTGAGTTTGTAATCCAATGAACTTAGCTTTTTATTTCTAATACTCGTATCTATATGTACGAGATGAACGTCGCTAGATATGCGTGAATTAGAAAAAAAACTACCCTTTTTTTGTATCATACAGTTGGCCTCCTGAAGGAGGATCAGGTGTGTCATTGTACTGGCGATTTGCCACCATACCCACCAGAATCCGCTCTCTGCATTTGACATGTAGTACATAATAAATAATAAACATGCAACGACGCTATACTGTACAGATCATTGTTTTATAAACGTGTGATAAAGAGTGAACAATCCACGATATTTTTATATGTATTTATCGTTTGTAAATATTGTTTTTTAGAATTCCGAAAATATAGTGTCAAACATTACAGTCTCTTACCTATTTTTGGAACACTTTCTAGCGCTGAAGGCCCAGCGCAAAGGAATTTAGTGATCCCATCCTGCTCTGTAAATTATGCAAATAATATTAGCTGTTTCTTCTCTTTCTATTTTATTTTTTTATCATGTACCTGCTCCAACATTTATCTGTCGCCCTTGAATGCTGCTACTGGGCTTAATTCTTGCAGCATATGTTTTGTAGCTCTGCATTTTTATCTGCAACAATTTAATATAATAATGTTATAAGCAATGAATACATATAGCAAACTAAAGACAAACTTATACAGGGTGTTAATTGATTACTTACATCCAAAGGACCATTGCACACGACAAAAAAAACTGCCGTTTTCGAAAAATACACTTTTTTTGCCGATAAAAGTTGAATATTGCTATTTTCCAACAATCTCTTGGTCAAACCGAAAATAGCTTCGACAATAAATATTTATCTTGTGAAGTCCACATTTTTTCGTATCCTTTAAGACTTAAAGAAATAATAAACGTTAAAATTTGAATGAAAGTTTGACAACAGATTGATGTATTAATTAATTTAGCAAAAATTCAAATGAAGAGCCCACTGTAGGTAATAATTTATTAACACCCTGTATATCGAGATTCTAGTGAATAAAAGACGGTTTGTTTCAATTGTTCTAAAACAGGTTTTTTTGTTTAAAATACACCATTTTTTTGTTTTAATAATGATCGAAAGGCGTGTACTAACAAACATTATTTATTTCAAAAATTCAAAATGGTTGTGGACGCAGATGGCTGTGAAAATTCGAAATAAAGTTGGCAGTACATCAAGTATAGTAATTTTGAAATTATAAAATTCTTTGTTGACATTTCACTTGTTTTGTCAGAAACACGTGTGTCGGTCAATCATGCCTACAGCGTGACGACACTTTTGAATTATATTATTATTGTAAGTTTACGGAAAAAGTATCTTTTAACTGGTCATTTAATTAAACTGTTAAATGTTTATAACAAAAAAAAACCTATTTATTTAATAAAATATATACTTACATTCGTCAATTACACTCTGCTAAAGAAGGGAATAAAATGAAAAATTCTAATTAGTTTCGATTTCTAAACCACGTGAACACAAAAACAACACAAGAAGAGGTAAAATGGTACACAGTGAACACAGAACAACGCTCAAGGCAGTGAAATGTGAAAACAGATTGTGCCGTTGTGCCGGTGCGTCCGTTCTGTGGACGGAGTCATGGCGACGGAGCATAGAGGGAAGGGTAAAGGGGGAGGAGACATAAACAAATTTTTAAATTTTAAAAATCCCCGCGAATCAGCATTTACAGATGTACGACACCTCGGAGAACTAAGCAATGAAAGGAACGTAGAATAGATAGATCAATCATATACCTAACAGAGTACTCGATTACGTAATATGAGGTCAATACACTACCAAACATCCGTATATCCCTGATCAGAGACATTATTTACCGATCGCATTTTTTGAACACCGGTCCTATCGACATCTCTTCCTAACCGATATAATTAATATAAGAATGTGTAGTAATTGAACTTATCGACTTTGATCAAATGTCATCTAAAAATTTTGTACATCATCAACATGGAGAAGGGAACATAAAGGCTGTTAGTAGATGATTTACATATGTACTGGGCTATGAAATTCATACTGTACCGCTTTATTTGACTTTTAACTAAATTCATTAATGAATATAAAACATGGTAACATTTGTCCGTACCCAAATTTAGGTTGGCGACAATGAGTTATTTGAACTAATTTTCCCAAATTTTAAATTTAGTGCCACGAAATCTACCAATAGAATGTAAAAGATTCATTGTTGCGATCTTAAATTTGAGTATGGACCAGAGATCAAATATTTCTTTTCGCTTGATTGGTACCACTGAAACAATCAGTTTCTCGGAAAAACTAAGAAGTGTTCTTTATTATTAACCTCGCTAGGAAAAACCATTTATGACCTAATCTAAAATGTGGTACCAGTCACTTTTTCAAATCATTCGTCGTCTTCATTCTATTTTATATACCTCCATCATGAATTCGCCGAATTTCAGGTTCTGCTGTTTTCGTTTTAAAAATATAAGATTATAGTTTTTGTGCTTATTTATCGTCCATCACAGTTCGCCCTTTCATTCGTTCGTAGTTAAATGTTAAAAATATGTAGCTTGAGCAGGCGCTCTTTCGTTTTATACACACATGTGCATTTTATGGTTGGCAATATTTAAATTTGACAATAAACTATTTCATACAAATTTACCACACATGAGATTTGAGCTAAAAATCACCATCACATAAAATGGGATGCTGACTGTTTAAACTTTATTTTAAAAGTTTTTGAATAAACGAATTTGAATAAATCATTCTGACAGTTGTTTGACGACTCAAAAACCAAACCTAGGGATTTTTTTTTAATAACTAAATGTCACCATTTTGAACGTGCTCAATGTTTAGTAGAGGTACCTGACCCGATAGAATTGCCGAATGTCGATTTCTATTAATTTTATTAATTACTTTGTTTGATTCCAGAGGTGTAGATATCTCACATAACATAACTAAATAATTCAACGACAATATATGTGATAATTTTATAGTTATAAATATAAAACTCTAATAAATTATTGTAACTTACGTAATATAAATTCTCGACGATAAGCCTAATCCCAGTTGAAACATACCAACTACACATTTTTGCAGCTCGTTAAGTTATCATGAACGAAAACAGAAAATAAATGTGCTTTTTTATGGTTATTCAGCAATCACGTCCACCCTAAATATTGTTAAGAATTCCATCCAAAAAGGCGCCAAAATATTTTGAACAACGCGTGGCGTTTCTTGGAACTACTGGCAGCGTGTCCCACGTGAAGAATTTCAACCAATGAGAACTATGCTTTTGTGCCCGCCGCCAAGCTCGTAGTGGCTTTACCTGCACGAAATAGCTCATCTTCAAAAACACCCCCAAGTGTTGTGGTAGTTATAAACAATTCACAAATAGTAAAAAACAAAACGCGATATTCGAGGGAACTTCGAGCGTTATTTTAACCAAATTTATTGTGCACCGGGTTCTCGTATTTTGAATCTGAAATATCGCCTAGTTACAGTCGCCATTTTTGTTGGACTTCGATGAAGTAGTATACCACAGTAAATTAATTTTAGCCCGGGTAATTTTCAGTGTTCAACGATTTTCGAAATAATGCTTTAAAAGAAACATCCGCGATTGTTTTACTTTCGTTTTGTGATTCTTAGGTGTGAAAATGACCCAACAAAACAGTACAACCAACTGGGTGATTCAAGGATCAAATGGTAATTTTACTGGATTCTGATCTACTGTTTGCTATAGATTTTGGATGTTAACAAAGCTGTAGTTGCCAGGAACCGTCATTTTTATTGTTGCCAACTTTAATAAACACATGATGGATTTTTACGCCCATTTTTGGCGACCACGTTGAATGACGGTTTTACAAACATGTTTTACTTTGCCTGGGTTGTTTTTAATGCCTCCTCTTTTTTTATGTAACAGGACAACCACAGATGATAAAGGTTGTCCAACCAAGTGGAAAACCCATAAGTGGCATCGTCACATCAGTAGCTGGACAGCCGGTAAAGATTTTCAAGTCACCGAACAGCCAGGATTCTGTTCAGGTAGTTATTCATAGTTACACCAGTAAATTAATGAATTGATGATGACATAGGTAAATATTGTTATAGTTTGGTTATGATAAATTGTGCAATCTTTAACTTATTTGGTTGTGATATCAAAATTAAAAATAACACTCATGTTGTTTACAAGAATAATATCAACAATTGGATGTTTCAAAAGGTGAAGATGTACATTAGAAATACAAAAATTGTAAATTTATTAAAATCGCAGTAAACAAAGTTATTCTTATTACAGTTTTTCTTTTCTTATTTTAATATATTGGAGTTATTTTTTAAGTGCACTTCCCTCTAATTTACCACACGTCTTGAAAAAGTGTCTTCCATAGATTACTACTTTTCCTGCTTAAAAAAATTATGTGAATGTAAAAAAACTCGGTTATTAGGTACAAAATCAGCTGTTATTCCAAACACATAAATCCAAGAGATGGTCACTCACTTTTTCTAGTAACATCCTTTTTAAATCTCTGTTGTTTCTTGTCTCTGTAACAGAACAAGGTGAAACAGATTGCTACATGAAAGAACATTACATCAATAAGACCTTCACTCACTAAGAAAACTTAATTTTCATAAAAATTTAACTCTTCATTCCCTTCATCCTTGGAAATTCAATTCAATAAAAAAAGTTGAAGCTGGGTGCTGCCAGTGTGATAACAGGTTTTTTACAGTGTGATAACAGGTTTTTTATAGTGTGAATTGTTTCATAATTTTTTTTTTTCATTATTCATTGTTTCCAGTATAATCAGTTAACAAAAAATAATTTTCTTTTTAGGAAAAAGAGAATGGAAGTTATTTATTTTCATGTTCCTTTTTTTCATCCACAAGCTAATGATTACACAATTTTTGAATTTCTCAACTTCACAAATAATGTAAAGTGGTAGTTACTACATATTTGTCGCAGTATATGTTGCTGTGATCAGTTTTATCATTTTTATTAGCGTCGTTAAAACAAGCAGGTGACAGTATTTTTAATTTGGTATTCTGAAATTTATACTTAAGACTTGGAATTTGACAGATACTATAACAATATTAAGCGTTAATTTAATAAGCTATTGAAAATGCATTTTATATTGGTAGTAAGACATCAATACGCTGTACTGACACCCAGAAAACGCATTACATTATTCAGTTTTTTAGATTTGTAACAATTTGTTTGACTGTTTTTAGGGTATTTAAAAGATTTCAGATTTCTTATTTCTATTGAATTTGGGAATTTTAATTTTTGTGTACGTTTTTTGAGGCATTCATGGCGCTTTTTTCACAAAGCTTTCTAAATTGGTGCAGCGAAACTTTCCCAAAGACGATAAAATAGATATGTCATTGTAATTAATTTTTATGAAATATATTTCGCACCAAAAATTGCGTTTAACAAAAAAAAACGAATAAACTTGTATATTTTGACGTCTTAAATTTTGTTGTTGATTTCAACTAGTAAACTACTATTAATAGTACTTTATTTTCACAACATGAAACCTAAAATATGTTTAAAATGGTAAATTTTTGCAGGAAAATACGGATTTTGCAATTATGCCCCGCCCGTCGGTCTGGCAACGAATGAAAAATTCATCACAATTTAGATTAGGGCAGGTGTAGGTGGAGCTTAATCTTTGGCTTTGTTTTTTACATAATACGTTATAGTTTTCTTTGGACACCACAATTATATACTTAAGAACTTGTTTCGTATGGTAATTTCTTGTAAAAAAAAATAAGGAATTTGCAGTTAAGCTCCGCCCCCGGCTCACAATGAATACAAAAAAAATCATCACAGTTGAGATAGGGCGGGTGGGCGGGGCTTGCATGTTGCTTTGTTCTTACTGTATGTAGTCTTCTCTTCACAACCAAAAACTTAAAACTTTATCAAATCTGGGTTTTGCAATTACGCTTCGCCCCTCGGTCTGACAAGGAATGAACAATTTTTTTTTTTAATATATATATTCGTCTACGAAAATTTACCATTTTGAACTTGTTTTCAGTTTCTTACTATGAAAAAAAAAATACGTATACTAAACAACCGAATCAACTTTCGTTCGGTACTACAACTATAACACAAGAGTAGTTAATATAGTAGTAGTTAATATTAATACTTACAAATTCCTGTGAAGCATGACCACTTTGATTATAATGAAATAACAAATGTTGTTACTAATTAGAACAGTTGGGCATACCACAGTTAATCAAACAACAAAAAGTGATTTAAAGTTGTTTAAAGAACTTCCCTTGCGTCTTAAGCACAGCCAATCTATGTATGTTTGAGTGTATTTTTAAATAAAAATTTATTTGGTAATTTTTGTAATTTATAATTGCCGTTTTTTGGAACAATTGAAAAAAAGAATGATAAAGTTGAGGATTGAACCAAGGACCTTTTCTCATATCAAGGCGACACGTTCTGTTACTGATCTATGGGATGCACGCCCGACTCACATTGCTGTCAAATGTGCAATAAAATACTTATTAAATCAATGTTCGTCTATTCTAAGACATTGTAAAATTTCGTCATGTATCCGTAAGGTTTAGAAGATCCGGTAAACTATTAAACCACAGATTTATTAGCGTGTTACGATATAAAGAACGAGGTTTACTTGACAAAATTTTGGAGATCATATTTTTTTGTGGGAATTTACATAATATGCTTGAAGTAAATCTAAAATTTCACAATGACCAGACCAGTGGTTTCGAAGTTATATGTCTAATTAAATCGGCCACAAACAGATGGAAAGGGGAGACCGAAATTGTCGTATTTTACAAGCTGTGGAACGTCAAGAAACACATTAAATCAAACAATCTTCTTAAGTTTAAAAAATAACTGGTAATGCAACTGTGAAAAGTTTTTCTCAAGACGTTATTCCGGTCTGTTTTATTGAGCTGTTTGATTAAAAATATTTACAGATTATTTCCTAGGCTATAACCAGGAGAAGTTTTATATTAGATCATTTTGCCGAATGTTTAACTTCGTCTCGCGTTGGCATTTCATAGTTCAGAGAATAATAAAATGAAATGTTTCCCTTTTCGTCTGTTTATTCTCTGATTACTTTTAAATTTTAGTTGTATATTAAAATTTAATTAAAAAATAATAAATGTGAATGTTCATTTTTTGCCACCCTTATTTAGCAATGATTAAGAAACATAAATTTATGTATATTTAAATATTGTCATCTTGGTTGTTTTAAAATCGTACAGAAAGGGTTGCAGACTATATCCAGAAATCAAAACTGAAGAATTGTATCAGTTTTTATACTTTTGATCCATATAGTATAGGTTCTTCGATTTCTGGAGGCTTCAGTTCAACGTTTATTTTTTTAATATATCCTGAACTTTAAAAATTTATTAACTCTCTGAAATACGAATTGTGTTCTAGCACTAGGTTTCAATTACCAAGTATCAAAATTGTCATCTTGGGTAACATATTTAGATAAAAATGATTTTGAAAAATTGTTTGTTTAAATAAATAAAACAATTTTGTTGTGTTTACAGATTAATAAAAAATATATACTCCTATTTTATAACAATATTGACGGAAAACTTCCTTGTTTAAAAAACAAATTGTGTTTTGTAGTTGTATTACGTTAAATCCATCTGAACTAGAAGCATTTGCCTATTTTTTTAGTTCTCAATCATAAGTTAGGAAAGGATTGTAATAAAATCTATTTGACGAATGGCGATTTTCATGTTTTCTCCGTAGTTCATAACCTGTAGAGTACGAAAAAGTAGGTCTATTGAACGAATTGTGAAATTTTACAAATAATGTGTAGACGGTAAAACGCTTGTCAGAATTTGTCTGATCATCTCCACCAAAAATCTGATGACGTCTTCTTAAACTTTTGTAGTTTCTGTGGTAAAAAAAAAGTATTAAGTTTTGTTACTTACCTATTTGTAACGAGTTTCACCTATTAAGTGAACAGTCCAAATTTACTGTTTCTACTTTAAGTAGAATTTGATTTATTTCTGTTTGTGGTTATGTAAATATTATTGGTTATGGAGCATGATAACAAGATGTGTTTTTCTCAGGTGTATGGTACAACAGGCTCATCACAAATAATAAGGACAATAGCAACGACTCCAAAATTCGTAACGACAAGTAAGTATACTATAATTAAAATTTGACAATTCTTTTGTTCGTTTTTTAATAATTTCAGAAGGTAGTGCACTTCAGGTCAGCGGAATACCAAAAGGTGCAAAGACTATTCGTTTGACTCCGACCCAAGTGGTATGAAGTTACTGATCCGTAGTGGTTCTCGTTTTTACAAAGTGATGTTTTCAGCAAAATATAAAATTTGTAACGCAAAATAATCAGAAAGTGCAAATTAACCAAAATACAACGGCAATACCTATCGTACAACAAACTCATACAGTACAGAACCAAAATAAAAATAATTCACCTCCAATTCTTCAGAGAAAGAGAGCCGATCCAATAGAGGTGGATTTTGTACAAGATTCGTAAGTGGAATTTGTAGAAATTGCTTTATGAAGGACTTACGAAATTTTATTATGCAGGAAACGTAGCAGAAAATCCGAGAAAGTTGGTAAAGGGCTTCGCCACTTTTCAATGAAAGTGTGTGAGAAAGTGCGGAAAAAAGGTAAAACCACTTACAATGAAGTAGCTGATGAACTAGTGGGCGAGTTCACGAGTGCGTCCAGCAATAACTCTTTAGCAGATCAGGTATTTCCCACTGTTTCTAAAATTATCATTAGAAACCTAATACTCATTTGATAGCAGTATGACCAAAAAAATATCAGAAGACGGGTTTATGATGCCTTAAATGTATTAATGGCTATGAATATAATTTCGAAAGAAAAAAAAGAAATTCGGTGGATTGGTTTGCCAACAAATTCGCTCCAAGAGTGCATGCAGTTGGAGAGAGAAAAACTCAAAAAAATTGCCACCATAAAAGAAAAGAAGAAGCAATTGCAAGAATTAATTTTAAATCAGATCTCATTTAAAAATTTGGCTCAGAGAAACAGAGAGTTGGAAGAAATAAACGGACCACCAGCTCCCAGTTCGTATATTCAGTTGCCTTTTCTTATTATAAGCACAAATAAAAAGACTGAGATCGACTGTAGTATCTCAAATGATAAGTGAGTTGTATTAATTGTTTCAGTTCGTGAAAACCTGTATTTTACTTTACAGAAAAGAATATATTTTTAAATTCAATGACAAATTTGAAATCAAAGATGACGTTGAAATATTGAAATCAATTGGAATGTTGATGGGTATGTTATAATATCCTGTTTTTTTAAATATTATTATCATTATTAAGTTGCTTCATATGGATAAATTTTAGGTCTAGATAACGGAAAGTGTACGCCAGAAAATTTGGAAAAAATAAAAAAAATGGTGCCCAAATCGCTAGAGAATTACGTAGATCGTAAGTAACAATGAAATATAAAGGAGCTTGAAACCATAGGTGTTCATTTCAGAACTGGCATTTGGTGCATCAGATGAAACAGACAAATTATTGGAAACTGATACTCCTTGTACAAGTAGCATGTTGACAACTGAAGATTTTGTAGAAACCACTTTGGATGAAGAAAATTCACATCAATCTTCGAGTGATCCTCTGTCGCCCGGCGCTCCAGATTTTAGTGACGAAGAAGGAGATTCTGATATGTCAAGTGATATTGAGTTGAACTAGTGTTTTTTTTTTCTACTGTGTATCAATGTCTGTCCATGTGATTGCAGTAAAAGACGGTTGGATTTCTTTATTTTTAGTGATGTACATTTACATTTTAAGTACTAAAATTTACTTGAAAGCTTATTTCTTCTATTAAATAGGTGAGTCAATTTTACAAGACGTTTTGTATATTGGTTCAAAGATTTTCACACATTTTAAAAATATCTGTATATAAGTATCAACTTTGTATAAATTTTTGCTTTTTGTTTGCAAATAAATTTGCACCTGTGATAACAAGTGCTTGTAATTTAAATGTGTTTAAAAGGAATGGTCAAATTTTTGTAGTGGACCAATATTTTTTGATTAGAGTATTCCAAAAAAGATTAAGAAGTTTACTATTCTTTGAAGTTATGTTTTAATATTTAATTTTTTTTTAAGGTTTTGTAAATGTTGAAGTACTGAAGGCCAATTAAATTTTTTTCTTTTGTATATAATAAGAATTATGTACTCTTTTTTATTGTTATTTATAAAAATTAAGTTTAGTTGTTAATGTTTATTAAAATGTAAGTTTTTCTTCATTTTATGATAGAATCAAGTTTGTAAAAATAAAAAGATTTTAATTCATTTTACATTTTTTAATAATAAAATTCTGTAAAACGAGTGGGAAATCACTCACAACTAGTTTTATGAAAAATACAAATTCAATTCAAATCTTCATCATCATAGAGGTCTTCAAAATCTGAAAGAAAAACAGCAAAATTAAAAGAATGAGCATTATTATGTAAAAAAAATTCTTTGGTCAACAATATTTAAACTTCTAATCAATAACAAAGATTACCTTCAGAAATCATGTGTTTATTTGTAGTTTATTAGAACATTTTTCTACAACTTCTTGTGTCTACAGAAGTTTCCCAGAACACAATTTTAAAAAACATGCACGGATATTAATAGGAGGTGAAAACGTTACTGTAATTTATTTTTGGTTTCATGGATTTCATTTGAAACCTCGGGAAGAAAAGTAAAATCTACATTACATTAACAAATGTAATTATATGTTTTAAGGCAAATCATGATGACCTCACAAATGTTTCTTCAACACTTACCATTAAAAAAATCCGCATGAACTGCTTTTTCGTTAGCAGCTAGATCCATCAGCAGGCCACTAGAACCCCCTGCCTATAGAATAAATTTTAACAATCAGTCACTAATATTTTTATTTAATTTCAATTTTGACATACCTCTTCTAAATCCATGTACGGACCAGCACCTTCAGGAAACATTTCATCAGCAACAATAGCAGGTTTCATATTAGTACTCTCTTAGATTTGTATCTAATAAAAAATACGTTATAATAAAATAAAAAAAATTATGAAAAATAACCTGCAAACTTACCGTATTTGTTTTTCGTCTGTCAAGTATCAAATGTGTCAAATCTCAAGCATCATTGCCAACTGTACCGACAAACTTTAAAATAAATACATTTTTAATAGGTTGAATTGAATTAGTTATACATATCAAATTATAAATTGAAACTCTTCAATTTTATCAACCAAAATAATGAAAAATATACTAATAAATAATAATATTGTTTATATTAAAAATTATTGTTAGTAGGTTATGTAACACGTCGCTTATACGTACCAAAATAACAAATGTAGCTGAAACGAATGACATTGACAGTAGTTGTACTGTCCTACTCTGACAACCTGACAACCACGGGGAAGTAAGTAGTGAATGTTTTCCATATGCTCGACATTCGTAACAATAATTAATTTCAGAAGTGTTTTAAAATGGACAACGTTGAAGCTCTCAAGTTAAAAATTGCCGAACTAGAACATAAGTTAAAATCACTCGCATCAAAAAATGTTAGAGAAAAAATCGAAGTCATGTCTTCTGAAGTCGTCGATTCAAACCCTTACAGGTACGTCTGTTAAAGTAATTAAAATAAAATTGTATCATTTTTTTACTTTGTAGTCGTTTGATGGCCTTAAAAAGAATGGGAATTGTAAACAATTATGAAGATATTAGAAATTTTACGGTAGCAATTGTGGGTATTGGTGGAGTGGGAAGTGTAACAGCAGAAATGTTAACAAGGTGTGGAATCGGACGCCTTATATTATTTGATTACGATAAAGTAGAATTAGCCAATATGAACAGATTATTCTTTCAACCTCATCAATCAGGACTAAGTAAAGTTGAAGCTGCTGCTGAAACTTTAAGAAACATCAACCCAGACGTTGACATTTTAACTTACAATTATAATATTACTTCTGTGGAATATTTTGATGATTTTTCAAGAATTCTGACGTAAGAATCATTATTTTTGGGATTTTTTTTTTCATGAGTATTATTGTAGACATAACAGCTTAAATAATGGTCCCGTTGATCTAGTTCTAAGTTGTGTGGACAATTTTGAAGCGCGATTTACTATAAATGCCGTATGCAACGAATTCAACTTGACCTGGTTCGAATCTGGAGTATCAGAGAATGCTGTCTCTGGACACATCCAGTTTATTGTTCCTGGAGAAACAGCATGTTTTGCAGTAAGAGATTATTTTACTTCATGTACGCAAGGTATAATGTTTTTTACAGTGTGCTCCACCTCTAGTTGTTGCTTCAAATATTGATGAAAAAACTTTAAAAAGAGATGGTGTATGTGCGGCCAGTCTTCCAACTACAATGGGAGTGATAGCTGGTTTTTTGGTTCAGAATACATTAAAATATCTTCTTAAATTTGGTAATGTTTCGAATTATTTAGGCTACAGTGCATTAACTGACTTTTTCCCTACCATGAATTTAAAACCTAATCCAAATTGTGATGATAGAAATTGTGTTCTGAGACAAAAAGAATTTGCTGCTAAACCTAAAGTTGAAATTGTGAAAAATGTTGTGGAAGATGATAAACCCATTCATGAAGACAATGAATGGGGTATTTCATTAGTTGATGAAAGTGTTGAAAATGATAAAGAAAACCAGAATGTTGGGTCAGGTATAAACTTGGCATATACACTTCCTGGAAGGGGAGTAGGTGATGGTGAAAATTCAAAATCTGATGATACTAGTTTAGAAGAACTTATGGCTCAAATGAAATCCATTTAGATTTTAAGATCAGTGTTTTTTATGCAGCAAATTGATTTAATATACATTTTTGATAATTACTTAGTACAGTATTCATCAATTGAAAAATATATTTTTTACATACTTACAAATTACGTCTGTGGTAAAAACGTCTATTGCGATGAATTTGTTCTACTCTGTCATCGAAAAAATAAAGGAAATTAGAGTTGGCTATGAGACAAGTTGTATAGGTAGTGTTGTTACGTCACACAAGTTCTGACAGCTGTCAGTTTTGCCACCTGTTAGTTTTAAAAATTAACCACGCGCAACAGAAATCTATTCATGTCTACGCCCGATGACATATCACAGTATAGATATAACGTATATAGGTTAGTTATATATCTATACTGTGTTAATATTGTGGTTAATTGGTAATGACCATATTTAGAATAAAACTACCACCCAAAACTAGACCGGCACCGCCAACTCTAACTCATTTTATTTTCGATCGAATGGTATTATCTTAATTAAGTTTGAAATTTGTTTTCATTCCATTTTTATTTGTTTATTGTTAACTTATTTTAAAATTTTCTAAAATAAAATATCAAATTGTTTATTTAGCTACTTAATTCAATTGTTAATATATTTTGGTATATAGCTTCTCATGTAAAATGGTGATCCGCAGAAAATATTGAGAGGCAATGGAATCCATAGTTACTTATTAACAATAAATACCTTTTATGCCGATAACTAGTTTTTCCTTTTCGGAAATTTGTCCATCTTGCGTAACGGGTGGATTGGTAACGTTAATGGTCTTAAGAAAATGTTTAATCTTGACATTACGTATACTATTACAATAAATGATATGAACGTGTACAGTAACAACGGATCTTTATTTCCAAATGCACACTTCTATTTATTATAAAAAGACGTTTTTAATACACATGTGCAAACTAAGATGAAAAAAAATCAGTGTTTATCTATTGCATTTGTTGAAATCTGGCAGTGACTTACAAAGGTGATTAAAAAAGATAAACACATATATATGTACTGCATTACCATGGGCGCTTCCTGTTTTGATCTTTCTCTACTCACAGAACACGAGAATATCTATAATATCTAATTTATTAGAATGTTCTAATAAATAATAAATCTGGGTTCTCTAATCTTTATCTTCTGAACCTTTTGACCTCTTCGTCTTCCTTCATTGATCACTCTGTTGTTCATAAAATTTTGCAAACATTAATTTCTCTTCCTTCGAAATTTGTAAAATCTCGAATCACGTTTTCTCCGTTCGTGGCAAAACCTTCAATGCATCCTTCAAACGTATCCATAAATGTGCCATTCGTTTCTTTTCTAATAGTCGATTTAGTTGGAATTCCACCAATGTAAAATAAACCATCAGTTGACACTGTAGTATTCTCCAGCATTTTTCGATGTTTTCCTTTATAAATGATTTTATTTTGATCCAACTTTATCATAAAGGGAGCAAACGTTATTTCAATACTATGCCACAAACCATCCGAGATCTTGTAGTAAAATGGTAAACTCACTATTGTATTACCGGTTTTGTTGTCGAGCGAATACGCGATTTTCAAAAAACCTTTTTCGAGCCCAACTCCAACGAAAGTATTTTCCTGAAAAAAAAAAAACAATTTTTAATATCGAAAAAAGGAAAGCAAATACTACCTTTTTGCTCCAAAGGACGAGCCCGTCTTTTTTAATTGTTGTGAAGTTCAGATACAAATTTTTCACTTCAACTGCTGAAATGTCACGTTTCTTTTCATTATTTTTCTTCACGATAAGGTAGCTGCGACCTGTAAATTCAGGTTTGGTGACCTGAATTTGAGTTTCACAGTAAACTCCTTCCCAACCAACGTGACACGAACATTTTCCTCCAACACATTGACCTGTGTCTTTGCACTTAGTGTCGTTACAATCCGAAACATTTTCGCAGTGAATTCCATAGAAAGCAGGAGGACAGGAACAGTGTGGTTTCATGAAGGAATCTAACCAACAAGTACCACCGTTTAAACAAGCGTCTTTCCCACATGGGGTACCATCGCAGTCTCCAATATTTCGTCCATGTGAAATTGTTGCTTCATTTAAAGGGATTTGCACAGAATTAACTGAAAAGTGTCGCACGCAGCCTTTATATGGTACAGGAAGCTTTGATATTGATAAAAGAGGCAATGATGAAATATCGGGAAGACCACCTAAAAGTTACAGATTAAAATTTTACCCGATTGGTTGTTTGTACATTTACTTACCCAAGAAGATGTTTTCTTTGGAGATATTTATTCCACTTTCGGTATTCAAAATACCCGAATTTATTACATTGTCAACCGAGAGATACGCTTTTTTGCCGTAAATTCCAAATTGTACTTTGTACCAGATGCCTTTAACTAATATTTTTGTGCTTGTGATGGTGGTGGGTTCGTTTACGGATATTTTATGTTTATCTAAAAAAATGGAATTTTTAAATAAAAATCTAGTATTTTGATTTTTATATTTCTTACTGGACAATATTTTTAGTTCCAGACTTCCACTGTATAACGTTAGGGAAACGAAACTTGTACCAACCCGTTCCACAAAAAATATAAGACCATTGTCGTCTAAAGGACGAATTTCCATTTCAACATTGAAACGATTTTCTGTTAGTTCTGAAGGTGGTAGGGAAAGATATGATCTAAGTCCAGTAAAGCTGACGTCAGTGATATCCTCTTCTAAAAGTGTTTAAATAATTTTAAAACCGTTTGAGAAATGAAGTGCAATATTTTTTTGTGTGACAAGTGAAGAAAAGATGATTTATTCGGTACAATATACATATATGCTGTGGTGCCCCAATTTGAAAAGTTAAATTTCGCGCTGAATATAAAAAACGTCGCAAAACCGCCTTTGAAAAATAAGACATCATTCAATAACGTAGTCAGTCACTAACGCATGGTTACGGCGTTACAGAAATTGACTGAAGGTAATTAGTCTAAACTAGCTAACTAACGATTTTCTAATCGGAGAGTTGTGAAATGTAGCGAATTCGTGAACACATGTTACTTTTGTTTCATTGTTTGTAAATTCCATGTTAAGATTTTTAACTGTTCATGGTTCTAATAGAATTTAGCTACAATAATGAAAATGTTCTCATAAAATACATAATAAAAAAAAACACTTATTCAGGGCTCAACTTACTTTTAATAACTATATATCTAAAGTTCTCAATGTTTTTATTTAAATTCTTATATTATCCACACTTCATAATAAGTTCTCGCTCAGAAATTCAAACAGTTCATTTGTGATCATTTAAACTATTCTTAAACGTGGATCCACTTTGGGAGAAAGATTACATGTTAAATTAACAGTTTCGTGATCTATAAGACGGAAGGGTTGTAATGTTCTTACAACTTGAATCTGAACATTTATTCTCGAATCTGAACGAAGGAATAAACAATTTGCCTTCCATATCCTGCACTTTGCATTTGAACGCATTCTTAAAAAACAAAACGTAAGGTACTATGAGGGACATGGAATTCTGGGCAGTCTGTTCTTGTCATTTCAAAAAATGTCAATGTAAATGCACCTTTAGCGTCAATATGATTGATATTTTCGAAAAAACTGTCAAATTAACTTTGAAATGTATCAATTGTTCGACATGCCAGCTGTATCAATTTTTACCAAATCTCGAGCAGTAGCTGCATGTTAATATAATTGAAACAAATTTAATAAAACTTCGACTTTGTCAGTGTCAAAATGAGAAATACGCCAAACATTAAAAGGCGTGGTTATGAATAGCTAAGGCCTGGTTTAGAAATTTTGACAATTGTGTGACACCTCTGCCGAATTTTCCGTGTCCCCAATGGTACATGGTACATTTTGAGAACGTGTCTTAAAATGGCATATTTTATATTATAGCTTGTATGTATTAAAATATTTAAACCTCAACATTATTTTTCGTTCACTTACAAGATTCTAAGCGTAACGAGAATGGAAAAAATTAAAAAATTAATGACAGCAAAATAATTAGATATATTTAGACAAAATTGCCCTTAAAGAAGTTCGTAAAAGATAATCTGGACTTAAAAACAAAAAAAAAAAAAAGATTGAAGTAAAAAAGTGAAGAGTACATCATCTGTAGTCTTCAAGCGTAAGTTAAGAAAGTATCGTAGTTAATAAGATTCGTCGGGCGAATGACCACTTTCGTGGTTTCTAAACGTTCCATACTCCTAGAGTATGGAAAAATACATCTCCCGTTTCCATCTGTCTGGCCTCTGTGTGGGTATTTTATTGGATAGATAATCTCCGAAACTACCGGACTAATTCTCGTGAAATTTTATACGTAAGTCTATAAGTATGTTAGCAACATCGTGTGGACGCTAAAACGCTAACCAGAATTTGTCTGATTATCCCTACCAACCACTCAATGACAAAAGAATTAACAGCCCCGTCAAAATAAGATGGCTACAGAATAAGATATATGTAATCATGAACTGCTGAAACTAAATGAAGTGTGGTGACCGAATTTGAATTAAAATTTCGCGCTGAAAAAAAATTAACAGCGGCGCGAAATTGCATTTGAATAATTTGAATTTAAAAAAAATTCAATCAAGAAAAACTATGGTGTAATGTTGATTCATTGTTTGTAAATTCACAGTTCCTGTTAGGATTTTAATCGTTAACCGGTTCTAACACAATTTAACAGTCAGGAGTTTGTTTAGATATGGCGCTTGTTAGGAGATTTCATGAAATTCACTTGGTGAGGAGACATTATTCTTTGTTTACCAAATTATGAATAAGGTTTCTGGATGCTTATTATACTTAAGTGTTACATTATTAGAGTTCTTAATTCCTCACACAAGATTGCTAATAGTTCATTTACGGCAGTTAAATCAATCCAGCGTTATCCCACTCTGGGAAAAGACCGTGAAATTCTCCCCTTAGGCAGTTATGATAATCATATGTCATTACATCACCGAGATATTTTTCTCGCAACGTGGAAAGCTACATCACGCGAGACATATTATCTCGCAACGTGGAAAATTACATTTTGTGTTGTTTATTTATCATGTGTTTTGTTTGGGATACGCTGGGGACACTCCACAGTATAAGCACTCAAAGCTAATTGTTTTAAGTAACTAATCACTTGGATAATGGCATAATGTAACATGTAAATTCTTTGTTTGAATCGTTGATAAAGTGTGGCATAATTTAACATCAGGTAAATTCTTTGTTCTGGCAGCGGCCATGTTGAAAGCTTAGATCATATAATAAAATTATTATATGATCTAAGGCTGAAAGGGTATTTTCAGAACGAGCACATGTTTGAACTGCAAAATCTCGTTGAACAAGACATATTTTTGACGCATATTTTTTTGGAACAACGCATTCGTCCGATGGCATTTTGAACGTCCAGATTGCCTGTTATGTTTTTTTTTTTTAATTTGTTTGGGGGGAATGTAAAACGATGGCCCACAATGCAGCTAAATAACTTCACATTTAAAAATTAATCAATAACTTTGCAATTTTTCACCTGATACAATTTTTCTCTATCTCACGGTTTTTAACTTCAGCAATTTTCTTTGTTTAATTTAAATTGAACGTCAACTTTCATGCTCTGCAGTTTCTCACCTTATGTTATTTTTTTGCCTGCACAAGTTTTACTTCACACTAGATCTTTTTTTATTTTTATAAATCTTTGCTATTTAGTTTTTTTACTACGTAAATATTTTGTTGATTAATGTTTCCATCATATAAATTGTCTGCTGTCCAATCTTAATCTCCGATAAGAATTCTTTGTTGTTTCAAATTTCACGAGAGTGTATGGCGAAGTCACATGTTGTTTATTACTTTTTTTTGAAACTTTAACACTTGTTCAGTCGTCGTTTAATATCAAAGTTATAGAAATTAAACATTCAAAATGGAATTGAGGTAAATAGCACAATAACACGTGGGGGAAGCGGAGTGCGCCGTTCCTTGTCGAGCTGGCGATCGCACCATCTGTACAAAGGATGTAGGCTTTGTATATAAGTCAGGGGAGGTCGGGATGGCCTGACGCTGTCGGCTTCGTGATAACCACGAGTTTGCGACCGTAACGGCCTGCTCGTCTAGGCGCGTCTCTTCGTGATAGAGGGGTGCTGGGCGGCAGTGCTTGCGATAGAATAGAATCACTGTCGCGGTGGAAGAACAGCCACGACCGGGAGCCCCAAACTCCGCTCGTGTTTCCACGCCCCCAATGAGTAATTCTGCTATACTCTAGAATGACATTGAGATAGTTCGATCGTCACACTCTTATAGTGCTTAGTGCCGTTGTCGCTGTATAGTTTTTTATTAAAATGTTGTTCTTTTGTTGACTGCCATAATTTTAAATTTGCCACCACCCAAGCAACATGATATCGTCTTTTTCACGTGAATAAATGGTCATCAATTACGTCATAGTGACCAAAGATTTTACGTGATATTGACGTACCAATGACGGTCAAATGTCTCGTCCAGATGACGTCATTTTCTGACGAACTATTGACGTGATGTACTGACGTCTTAGAGTCGTCATTTTGTAACGAAATATTGACGTGATGTACTGACGTCTTATAGACGGCATTTATTGTCCATTTTAAGACGTTTCTTATATTTTGATTTTTAGAAAAAAATATGCAATAAATAAAACGCTGAAATACTTTTATATTTTTATGTTATTTACCTTAAATAAAATATTATAATTCGTTATAATCACCAGGTAAACCCCAAAACAAAATATATATTTATTAAAGTTAAAACAAATTAATGTAAAAAAATTAAATTTACTACAATTCTGTACAACCAACAATGAACTTCAATAAACAAATAAAAAAATATATGTCAATTAAACAAATTAATGATAAACTACTTTTACGAACACAAACAAATCTACATACAGGTAATTACGAGTCAAATTACTATAAACAAAAAAAAAAGGATAATATACAATATATAATCAAAAATAAACGTTGCAATAAAATATGCTATTTAAAGAAAAATCAGTTTTAAAAACACAAAGAAATCTATTTAGTTACAAAAAATATTAAAAGAAAACTATAATAAACTATAAATCAGTCTTAAAAACACAAACAAATCTATTTACAAAAAATATATATAAAAAAAAACTAGAATAAAGGGAAAAGACAGTTGAATCGCATTGTTGAAGTTACTTGCTTTGAAAATACACTGTAAAACTTTCTAATTCACGACGACTTGACTGTCCCCAACACACAAAAAAGTGCCGTTAAGAATTAATTCTGTTTTCAGTGGCGGCTCGTGACTTTTTCTGTTGGGGGGGCAAAATTAATACACAGTATTATGCTAAATTTAAAATTTATGCTAGGTAAAAATTAGTGTTTCTTCATTTAGAAAAATGTCAAGTTAGAGGTCCGTTAGCCAGAAATTATCGATTGAAAATTGATAATTGAAAATCGATAATTTCTGTTTACCATCTGGAACCACGAGGAGGTGGACCTAATTCCATACTTCCCCAACAGTGATGGGGCTAACTCAAAGTTCCTTTTAAATTTGTTGACATAAGAAATATAAATAAAATTTTGTTAATCGCGTGTCCAGTAGATGCAATAGTTATCCCCCACTTTAAATTCTTTTCAATTTTTTTAATTAATATTTCTATATATAAAATCCATACGTCTTTCTTTGTTACGAACAAAATGTTCTATAACTAGTTCATTGAAATTCGTGCTTTCTTGCGCTA